AAATTTATTACTGACGGATGAATACGTAATTTATGCAAAACCGGCGACGCCTCTTATAATTTTGGTTCCCGTTTCTAAATGCTACGTAAGACACAGCTAAGCCGGAATAAACAGTATTTAAATGTTACAGAGAATTTATTTATCTATGTAGAGATAGTGTTCCATTAAAATTATAAGAAAGAGGTTGAAATGAGCAAAGTAGAAATAGAAAAGCAATCACTATAGAAGTAAACTGTGTGGAACCAGCCAGCCCCCTTAACAGACTACCTAAATATACCTCTACCGAGAGACCACACTACCAAAGGTTTTTACCTCACGGTCTTGTCCGTGACAGGTTGGCAGAGCTATCAATAATTGTTTGGAATAAATGCGTTTAAACAGATAACAACAAACATTTTTTATTCTACAACCGTGCTTTATTTTGTTTAACAAAATTGTTGTCTTATAAGAAAACAAATGTATTAGATAGGCAAAACAAACTGAATTTGAGCTTCATTATATTTAATTTAAAAACAGAGATAAGAAATACAGAGGTAAGCATTTTTTTTAAATAGCACACATGCCTTACTTAAAAGCTTACACTAAGGAACAGCTAAAAATAAACACTGCCATCAACAAAAACATCAAGTATTTACGTCACAGAAGACATATATATATATGCAATATTTCTACAAACAACACACCGTTGATACGTTACTGATGAAAAACTAAGAAATCATAAGTGATCTAACGAAGCTTTTGAAAATATAAGATAAATTAGGTAAACTAGCAACGCTAGAGTGACTGTATTATTATCGAAGTCAAGATTTTTAAAATCATTGTCAAAGCGTTATTTCTTCATTTCTAAATGTTCAAAAGAGAGAAAAAAAACAAACACAGTCTCTAGCTAAAAATTTCTTAGTTACTTTTAAGAAACTGTATACATTGTATAATGTATATATTAAATAACGTCCACAAGTTCGTTTTTTTTTCGAAGAATAACCGACTTTATATGTAATGGAAATATCATAGTCTTTCGTAATGAGCATACCCCCAACCCACAGCATGTCGAAAAAGGGAATGTTTAACTTAGAAGAACGATTAAATGTTATAATCAAAAGTTTTGTTAACAACAAAATGCACTCTATCTCGACGATATATATCTGCCAGTAATTTCAAGTTGATGCCAGTTTTTGAGATAATTATGAGTTTAACAAAATCTAAGTATGAAATTATTTTTTTTTTTAAATCAACAACAAAGGGGATTTTCTAAAATGTAGCTATGATAGCAGAAGTATGTTTCTTTCTGCCTCGCCAAGCTATATTAAAATGCAAAGTTTGATTTCGATACCTTTCTTTTAAGTTTGAAAATTTACAATGGGCAAATACTGAAAATTATGAAAGCCAGAATTATGAATTCATGATTTTTCACACTTTTCTCTGTCTCACCATGACGTGTATATCGATACAAGTTTTGTACCATATTGAAGGTATGGACAGTATAAAATAAACGTGGCGGGACGTGACATTGCTTGTTTCCAATAAAGCGTCCACAATAAGTTAAAAAAGTTAAAACTTGAAAATTATCGAGCGTCGATCTGAAACAAGTGTGAAAAAGTAACGCTCGTATTCCAAAAATGTCTGAATATTTCCATAGACAATAACGAAGAAAACCAAATCACTAGTGTTTGGACATTTTGCATTTGCTAAACTGTACTACTTCTCACTCGAAACGAACGATGTTTTGCCATGAAACCTCTTAGTCTTCTAAACTGGCTCCGAAAACTTGACAAATATGTATTGCTGATGCTCTTGCAACTGCTTTGTAGTTGAAACCATTCGACAGCACGTCCTTAATTCCTACAGGTAGCTTTACTAGACTTTAAACTGAAAACATTAAAAGTATGTGTTATCACAATTGAAATGAAATACATATAATTATATACAAAATGAAATACAAAAAAAAATCCCTTAATACATAACTGTATAGAAAAGTTTATATACAAATAACATGTATTTTGTACTTGGTATGTGACCTAAGTTATTGATACTGAACAAGTGAATAAAGTTTCAATATTATATCATAACTGGTTTATGGGACCACATCTGACAAAACATTTTAGCTTTAAAAAATGGGCATAAGTATGTCAAATTTTGCGCCACTCATACGAAACTTGTTCATTGATCTAAGATGTCAACACTTAATATGTGTTCTAAGTTTCAAATGAATCGCTACAATAGTGTTTGAGAAACCATTTTCATAAAAATTCTAAACCATGAATTCAAAATCGAAAAGAGGCATAATTTGATAACAATGCAATTCAGAGATTTCTAACTTAGAGCGTGTTCTAAACAAGTGTGTGAAGTTTCAAAGCTTTATGATTTATTATTTTTGAAATACCATGTTTCATGAAACATCTTAACCACAAATTTCTTTGTCAAAATAAGGCCTATAATTTGGTCTATATTAGATGGACGAAGAATGAACTACGGGTGAAAACCGATTGTAACTGCAGCAAACAACAATGTGAGACTAGTTTGGATTTAAAACTGGAACCCATATAAAAAATAAAGTGTTTGATTCATACGCTGTATGTCAATTTGAGATTATATATCCCTGTTCCGGAGATCAAAATAAAAAATGGATACCCAATGCAATGCAATGCAATGCAAGCAAAGTATTTTCTTTTCTTAATCAATTTAAAAGACTTATATAAGAATAACATTCTGTTCTTGCATATGAGCCCGCATATTTGGTGTTTTTTTTTTTAAGTCTCCAGGAAACTTAGGTAAATGAACTTACCTCGTCTGAATCGTTGTCATATTCTACCATATTTTCCTTGGAGATTATAATTATGATGGAAAGCACCTGGGAAATAACAAAATCCATAAGTCAAAAATCAAAAGTCATAAATCAAAAGTCATAAATCAAAAGTCATAAGAAAATAGTAAAATAAATCTATAAGTCAAAACTCAAAAGTGACCCTCCAAGGCTTCCATAGGAGAGAGTTCAAGAATATTGTTAATCAGTATTTTTTGGAAACTGTAACAAGATACTAAAATAAAAAGTTTTTGAGAAATAAAATTTATAGCATTTCTGATGCACAATAGGCCTTTAAATATGAGAATATGATGTAAGTGTATGTTGTTTTTTCCAAGGACGTTAAGATTTTTAAATATGTTTACATAACAGAAACAGTGGTCTTACAGTTATAAGATGTCTACCTCTCAAGCCAGGTGTGTTCGAGCCCTACTTGAGTCACGGCCATGTTTCTTCAAATAACAAAAGTACTGGTTAGTACCAGCTAGGAAGCGGACAAGAGCACTCTTAAGTCGTTCGAAGTGGCAGAGAGCTATTTGCAAACTTGAGCTTATACAATAATGACGTTTAACTTATTTTTTACATCTGAAGGTAGAGAAAGATGTTATTAAAATCAAGAAACGTGTCACTATTTCTGAGTGTCTGTATGACTTTTTAGATACTTGTTAATAATACCGAAATTAGATTTTTTTTTAGAAAAAAAAATCTCTAGAAACATTTTTTTTCTCTATAAAGCGTCTTAGTTACAAATATCATACCCAAAACCACTACGAGCACACATTTCTATATACGTAACTATAACAGTTTATCCTTTCTGATTGTTAATATTTGCGTGATATTTCTAGACATTTCATAGTACATTTCGCATATACAAGTGAGATAATTTTTCCGAGTTATTTCCCTTGTCATGAGAGGGCCACTTTGCTAGAAAATATCTCCTTTCATTTAGTTCCTCCTGTTTATTTATGACTTTTTACTAACACTTTTTATCAACATAATGAACATTTAGCATGAAATGTGTATATTGGTTGGTATAGGTTAGATGTTTTATATTTTTATGTTAAAACAGTTTGAATTTATTCATATGTTCATTAAATGACATAAATATAATTCAATTTGTTCTTGTTGTTATCTTATAGTGTTTCAATAAAAAATGAACACAATGATAGAATTCTAAATAACATTAGTGATTTTCATTTTTGTAAGTATTTTGAGGTCATTTCACATTGTTGAGTACAATACTGATTTTTACTGGTGATAAACCGATATTAAAAAAAAATATCCAATATTTAATTGATAAAAAAACATAGTAGATTTACGAAAATACCGAAAATCAACAGTGTTTTGTTATACATAGAATATATATGTACTTCGAGTACAATATTGATTTCATATGGATCTTTTGTACTTTTGGAAAATGAAAACGAGGCTAAATAGGGTACAATATAGATTTGATATGGATTTTTTGACGCAGAATATGAAACGGGACAAGATGGAGTAGAATATTCACGTGTTATGGATTTAGACATCAGATGTACATAAATAAAATAAATGAAAAAATCACTAAAACAAAATCATAGAAAAAACGTAAAATGTTGAGTATTTATTATGGAAAAGTGTACATAACATATCACAAAAAGTTAAATATAGATTATAGAATGTAAGTAAGTGTAAATAATTAATATATATATTAATAAGAAAGTGAATATTCACATAAAATTTTGATTTTTTATACCACTACAACATTCGATTAAAAATATATAAATCACTTGCATTGATAATACTTTTGTCCATCGTAATCTCCGTTCAATGATTTTATTTTTTCTCAAATCTAACCGGTGTCGGATAAGTTAAATCAACTTGAATGATTTAATGAAATGGGTACATCAAGTTTATACATGTATTACTACGACATAGCTGCAATGTTGATTAGTAATGTTGATTACATTTTCTTATAGATAAATGAGCCGCGTCATGACAAAACCACATAATGGGTTTGCGACCAGCATGGATCCAGACCAGCCTGCGCATCCGCGCAGTCTGATCAGGATCCATGCTGTTCACTATCAGTTTCTCTACTTGTAATAGGGTTGGTAAGCGAACAGCATGGATCCTGATCAGACTGCGCGGATGCGCAGGCTGGTCTGGATCCATGCTGGTCGCAAACCCATTATGTTGGTTTTGTCATGACACGGCTCAAATGTGTATTTATAACAACAAGAAATGATAAAAAAAATATTAGAAGAAAAACATAGAAACACACAGCGATAACGTGATTTTCATTAAAATATGTAAATAAAAGATGATGAAAAGTGTACATTATGAAAACATTGGAAAAAGGTCGTTCAAGAAAGTAAAAGTATAAGGTCAGATACGGCGAGGTTCTTCTTATTTCAAATCCTCACCCTCTTCGTTTTGTAAGGATAAATGAGCAAAATGAAATTATGAAATAAAATCTATCATGATAGACAGGGTAAATTATGCTTGATATAACAAAATTAACACACACGCGTGACTGTGCACAACAAATAAGTCGGGTGAAATAAGAAGTACACTGATTTCCTTATAATTGATGTAGTGTAAAAAAAATAGCGAGCACTTTTCATGAATATCTAAAGAAAAAAACATGATTTTACAATTCACAGTTATCACATTAAAACAACCCATAATCGCATTTGGGACGGGGTGGAATTATTGCGGTAAAATAACAAATCCAGTCCAATATGTGTATAAAACGTGCAATATGGCATTTGTACTGGGATATATATACATTTATTAATCTGTTAATATTTTGATTCTTTGGATTCTTTTCACTACCCTGGAGACACGAAGCTTCAAAAGTATTAACCACACGATGTTTGTAGGTTAACAATAAAACTCATATTATACTATGGATACTTTATATTAGTGTCATGACACTTGAATAAATAAAATAAAATATAAACCATTTTTATAGTCTTGCTGTATTGAATAAGATATTTCAAGTGAGTTTGAAGTTCAGAAAACATTTTGTAAAGCAATTATTGCAACAATGAATACAATTGTAGCAAAATTGCGCGCGCTGCCGGAACTTCCGCCATCTTCGTTTTGTCTTTGGTAGAAAGAGTATCCGCCACATTTAGGATGGTATTTAGGTGGTGTGGGAAAGTCACCCGGGTCTCCGACCTTCATAACCATAGCCATACCTTGCATCAAATGACCCTCGGAATGACAGTGGAAAAACCACATACCTATAATGTAAACTATGACGTGTAATATTCAAAACTTTAGAAAACACTTAAAAGCACAACAACCACTGAAAACAAATACTGTAAAAATACAAATTGTTAAGAGTTTAACACTTTGCAAGACAAAGGAACTCGCATTAAATCAAAATAATTGAATTAACCAAACCCATATGCTTTATCTAATGTTTGCTTTTATTTACTATCGGCTTTACGTGTTATTCACTATTTGCATTTCTTAATGAAAAATATCGGTAAATTGGTAAAATAAAGAATGTACCCGGATTGTCTGCCTTGAATCGGATGATGGTATAACCTCCACGTCCCTGTACTGCTACCGTATCTTTATACAGCGGATTAGTGAGCATGCGCGGGAATTCCCCGTTTCCGTTGGCGTCCCTGGCCTTAATGTCATCAATGTCAATTTTCAGAAAGTCATTTGTTGATATGTTGGTCAGCTGCAATGATATAAGTCAAAATTTTGAACCATAAATTACAATAATAAAATATATGTATGCCATTCTGTTTAAATTAAGTGAATTGGTCTATGATCCGATATCGCATATATATAAAATGACAAATTTCTGATGTTTTTATCATTATTTGGAATACTTATGGAAAATGTGCTCATTGTAGACCTTATCAGTCTTAAAACAGAAAGAAACTGTCTGCAATATGTAGTCCAATCAACGTTTCAAAATGTTCTCCCTAATTTTTGTATAAACTTACATATCCTTCACCAACAACACGGAACGTGTAACCATGGAGATGCATCTGATGGGGATCTCCAGCCGCACCAATAAGAAACAACTCCACAACCTAAAATATATTTGTTATGCAATCACATTTTCTTGATACTAAAATTAGTTTTACTAGATTATTGCAAAAACGTCTAGCATTTTGTATATGCAAAACCGTATCGAACCAGCTTTGGGTTACTGCAGCAATTTGCAATGTAAATTGTTTATCAATTTGAAAGATGCTGATGGTCTCCACAAGGCCATAAGTCAAGAAGATGGCATCGGATCTTTTGCTACACGTTGCTTTACGGCACAAACACATGGTTTGAAGACAAACTACAGGGTATTAAATATTGCGATATATTAACATCCTTTTTATATACATACTTAACCTTCGCTGTTAAATATTATTCGCCCGTCTCTCGAGACACGACTAAAGCTATGAGCTCTAAACAAACCGTGTTCACATTGAAACACTTTTGTTCTGGTAGGCCCTTAATGTCACCAATGATTCAATAAGCCTTATCATTATATACTGTGTATCACATGCAACAATACAAGCCGATAAAAAAAACGAATGACGTCGCTGGCGTTTTACCAACCAAATTATATGTTATTTTGGTTTTGGAGTGATATATGTGGATATATTACCTGCTAAGATTTTATATTACCCGAGCCGTCAGGCGAGGGTGATATTATATCTTGGCAGGTAATATATCAACATTTATCACTCCAAAACCAAAATAATAATTTTATTACCCTTCCCCTGTCGAGTTTAAACGATTTTTTAACAAATCATTGCTGTTTCAAATGAAACGTCGAAATAAGATTCCCTTTAGGGTACCCCTTCATCACAACATGACGTCACATAAATACATGACGTATATTTTCCTGTACCTAACGAATGTAAACAAGAGAAAAGGAGTAGTCTATTAAACGCACTTTTTTGTAATTAATATCAAGCTTTCACAAGGTCATATTTGTTTTCAATACTGATGAGAATATGTATCATTACTCTACTGTGGTAAATATTTATCATTTGACAGTTAAAAAGTGCTTGTACATCGGAATTTACACCGCGTAAAATCGAACCGTACGCGCATCACCTCAGCGCATGTTGTTTACAACGTGGGGTACCCAACGGGGAAAATTAGTGTGTATATTACCCGTCTGGCTCGGTAATGGTGATAAATATCCAATCAAAAAGACGGAAAAAATCTGGAAGGGTAATAAAACGTTATGGTTGAATATCGACAAGTTATATAACAAGTTTTGGCATAATGCTAGGAATCCGCCGTTCAGCAAGGTATTTTTTGCCTGCACACTGGTTTCAAGCGTCGAACATGAAGAATGTATTTCAGTTCTATATATAGGTAACCCTAAAAAACATGGCGGAAAGCATAGGCGCCCCTTTTTGAGATCTTTTATCGTCCATTTTGTTATCATGTGGTATAATTCTCCAATATGATTGGCTAAAGGTAGGCGGTGTACGGGTAGAAATGGTCAAATCTTAAGAGTACATGTTCCCGACCAGGAATGGTGACAACAACAGGAGTATTAAAGACTGTCTGACTCTAGAGGATTTTACTAGAACGCATCATATTCGGTGCTACTGCATATTGTGAGATCCTGTCCTAGTAAAATCCCCTCGCGCCAAATACAAGTTTCAGACTTGTCCCTATAATACTCATATTTAAGTAAATGCAATACTATTCTACATTTACATTTTACATTATGTACAGAACATACCTCGCCTTTAGGAATGTCCAGCATGTGTGTGCATAAACAAAGGTCATCGTTGCATTGAGTTTTCGTGTTTATTGTTGACGTGTTACAGAAATTCTTCTCAGCATCGTCCCACTGTGTAGCTAGCGGTGCAGCTGGACGTACCATCGTAAGCTTCTCTTGTCAAGGTCACATTATATTCTCATTGCTAATTTTAAATTTATTTTTCTTTTAAAAATGCAAAACTTCTATATGTACAGTACAGATGTTCTTTAAATTACATATGCTTACTAGTATCAGCATTTGTCAGACATTAAGTTGTGAAAATAACAATTACATGTACATAAAATGTAATATGACCGAAAAATCATATCCTAATTCAAACATATACTGTGCTACTTCTGCAGACCAAAATCCTTTAGAAGGTAACGAGTTTTGTTGTGTTGCGAGAAATTACTCTGGAGTGTTAAATCTTAGTATAGGAAGATTTAACTATGCTGTTTTATAGAGGTTATCGCTCTACAGAGTACCGCTGTGCAGATGTTACACCGTATGATATATAAGTGGTTAGGGCGTTTGCCTATCAACCCTGGGACCGGATCTAAGGATCGAATCTTACGGGGGTCATGCCTTGTTTCCTTGTGTAACACCAGTATTAAAGTTAGCACCAAACTTTCTTTATAATCGATGTTAAGTACATAACGAGTAAACTATAAGAAAATATCAAAAATAAAGGATACATTATTTAGAGTTGGAGTAAGAAGTCCCCATCTGACAGGGTTCGGGTAGTACTCGGGATGACTATAATATGAGTTATCTGTAGACTGGTACCACAACACTGTAATAATGTAATAAATTCAGTTTACAAGGAATTATGTTCCAAAATAACGTCTACACACACCGTCTATGGATCATTTCTGCAGAAATACTGATTTAAATGTTGCATGAACAATGAGGAATTTTACACTTTATTAAACTTCAGCGTGCTGGTTACAACTGACTACCAATGTGACCCATGCAGACCAAGATCATCCAGCACAGCATGATCCGCACTGTTCGCTATATAGTAAATAGTTACTTTGAAAACATCCCTAAAACTAATAAATAATTTTGTCTAGATTGTAAGACGGACAAGTCCATTGAATAGAACAAGCGCTGTATGGGATGATAAATTAGTACCAGCAACCACGAACTTACTGATATAATATCTAAGACCAACTTTCTCATCCGTGAAGTCTTCGGTTTGTCCGTCAGGAGGGTCATATCTCATATTGGCATGCGGAAGAATGCTTGTGTCAGTGTTCTGTTCCGAGCCAGGATTCAAAACCTAGAATACAGAAACGTATCGTTATTAAAGGGTGCGATGTTTTAGTATAGTCGTACTGTAGACTTGTTAAAGACCCAGTATGCCTTAGAAATGCTATATTTTGTATTTCTATAAAAAAAACGTTCTATCTTTGGAATCTTGTCACAGTTTCCAAAAACTACTCATTTACCAATTAGATATACTATATGTTGCTTAGTTGCCTCCGTTTGCAAATGGTATACATTGTGTGTATTTATCAAATGAGTAGTTTGTATGGTGTATAGAAGTCAAAATACTAGCTACTTTGTTTACATTTTGCTAGCTTTACAACAAATCACTGTATGTTCAGCGCTACTTTTTTCATGTGCTACTATTTAACATAATTATGCTCTTAATCCGTTATTAAAACAGTATCAAACACATGTTCGGCATTTCTACAATTTTTACAGAATTTCAAAAATATGCTTATCTGATGCATAATGTGCCTTTACGAAAAAGCGCAATAAAGATAACACACAAATTGATATTAAAGACATATTATGCCTCAAAAATCGATATTTTTAATTCTATAGAGATGAATAATGACTAAATAATGGGTTTTGAATAGACCCTGTTAGTTGTTCAATAACTGAAAAAAGTAGTGCTGATTTCTGCTGAACATACACGTATGTGTCGTTAAGGTAGCTTAAGGCAAACAAAGTATTTTGACTTCCATACAAAATACTAAATTTTTCCAAATGGCAAAGCGCAAACAAAAGCAAAAAATAGTACATTGACGAGCCATTAAGTAAAGTTTTGAAACTGTTACAAAATATCAAAAATTAAAAAAAGAAGTTTTTTTTGAGAAACAAAAATGTTGGTTGTGGTATTGGTAGTTTTCACTCTGGATCACGACAGTAAGCCACATTGAATTTACCAGAGCACAGTTCAGTCACTGCATTGTTCCCGGGTATGCTGTCAAGCACTGTACCAGTACTAGTTGCCTTCACTTCGCAAGAAACTGAAACTTCTGTACATACCAGAGATGATGTACAGTGTAATTGACCGTAGAGAAGATTTCATGATCAGTCACAACGAAAGTGACCTGCGTCGTCCGGAATCGAACCAGGATCGACCGATTCACAGTCCAACGCTCTACCTATTGAGCTAACCGGATTTATTGTTTTTATCATTATTTGAAATACTTATGGAAAATGTAACCTATTCACTTTAATATCTAGAATGTTTCGGTTTCGATATGGTAAGTATCTTATAAACACTACATTACGTTGTAAAATTATATGTATACGGTGTATGTATTGGACTGTAAAATTGTATATTCTTTATAAAAAAAAACAACAAGATGTTATGCTTACTATGCCTTCTTGAGAAAAATCTTCTACGTTAGTATTTGGCATGTAATCATCATTGCCTACGTAGCCGTTATAATGCAGTATAGCTGCACCGTGCCCATCATTGTCACCACCCACACAGTCACCGTAAGATTGAATCCTTATCCAGTAGTCACCGGACGTCTGGTTGGCAAGCAACACAAAGTCGTACCTCTCACCTGATTTTTATAAAGCGTGAACAGCACTTTAAATGGTATGATTGCGGAAACTTACATTTCGTTACGGTACAATTATGACCAAATAGTAATTTACGAGAAGGCTACTATTCAGAAACTGTTAAAGAAATATTTAAAGTATGAATAGAATTAATCAATCTCATTTAACAACTTCATGAACTTTGATAACATGTTAAATCAAATATCACAGTCTTAACATATTCATGTAGATTTTGATCTTTCAAAATTGTAGGTCGTGACTGATATTGCAGAATACTGTACCTGGATGTATCATGAATGAGTTAACAGTTGATGGAGTGATTGGCCATCCATCGGTTGTAATCACTGTAAGTTGGTGGTCTTCAACCATCAACCGGAAATAGCATCGTGCTGTAGCTCCAATAACCCGGAAACGAAACCTAGAAGCAAGATAAATAGATGTAGGAGGGTTATTATAAAGGAAACTTCAGTCTTGCCCTTTGCATACCATTTCTTTTTAATTAGCCATACAAATCGCACCATTTTTCGGCCAATCAAAATTTACCCACTGAACGTGGTTCGGCGCTATCTTTCATATTCGTTTCTGCATTGTTCTCCCTATGAAAAGTAATTTTATTTAATGATGGCCAAATTGAAAGGTAAAAAACTATGTTCTCAGGCGTGTTGCTAAGGTTTATACTAATAAACCTTCTCATGTGTTAAATAAAGTTTTTAAAAAAACTAAGATCTACAAAACTAACTGTGTTGGTCTGTTATAGAAGGCGTACGCGTATAAGCGTCTTCCCCCTTTAATATTTGTTTTAACATTATAAATATGATTGCAATAAATGAAGCTATCATTAAACATAATTATTAGGGTTTTTTTTGTTTTTGTTCCGTATATAGAAGGCGTCCGCGTATAAGCGTCTTCCCCCCTTTTTTAATTTAAGTTTAAATGTTAAATACAGCTTTTTAATCTTAGTGTGGGATATAATCCCACCGTTTTCCGGCCCCATCCAATGCAATTATTTTGCATTTTTGGGGCAGGAAATATTGTACTCAGTACTCACTAGTCACATATGCAGATATTAACTAAATAAAGTGTTTTCCCTATAATAAATGAAGCATATGCTCGCCCATATGGTTTTAAACCGGTGGCGAGGGTGAATAAACCCAACACACACACACACCCTTTGCATACAATGCATGCGCAGGCTGGTCTGGATCCATGCTGGTCGCAAACCCATTATGTTGGTTTTGTCATGACACGGCTCAAATGAATGAATTCATAAACCGACTGCATGTATGTATCCTAAGCTTAATGAGTGTCCATTCGCCCTTTCAAGCACTGAGAGTACGAACTACAAATCGACTGCAATATATATATATATATATATATATATATATAAATATATATATATATATATATATATATATATTATATATATATATATATATATAGGTTTGTGAAAAATATTTGCGACTGCTATAATTTGGAGAAAATAACGTTCATATATAAATATACTTCGGCGTATTATATCAGGGGTGTATTACATGTATATATCTCATATAGTATTTTTATATGTATGATTTATATATATATATATATATATATATATATATATATATATATATATATATATATATATATATATATATATATATATATATATATATATATATATATATATATATATATATATATATTATATATATATTATATATATAAACGTCACGGTTATCCAATGATAAACGTTACAAACGTGAAGTATTATAATAATCATCATATACCTTTCACCAGACGACACTGTGAAAACTTCATAAGGCGTATATCCAGCAACCGTATCATCACCTTTAATGACGAAGTCTGTGACCTCATATTTTCTGCCACGCCCATTCACCAATACTGTTCATGTTGAAAATTAAATATTTGTAAGAAAACGTGATGAAAAAAAAAAAAAAAAAAAAACAAGAGGGCCAAGATTAACATTGATCGCTCACCTGACCAATCGAATTCATCCAAACAATTACTTAGACAAGCATCCTGACCAAGTTTGATGACGAATGAATCAAAATTGTGACCTCTAGCGTGTTTACAATGTTTTTCCATATTTTGGCGGTGTGGCCTAGTTTTTGACCCCAGATGACCCATATTTCAGCTTGACCAAGAAATCATCAAAACAAACTTTAAGACCAATTTCCAGGATATTTGGATCAAACAGTAGCCGCTAGAGTGTTAACAAGATTTTTCTATTTATAGCTCCTGTGACCTAGTTTTTGACCCAAGACGACCCATATTTGAACTTGACATCTGAAAGCATCTGACCAATTTCCAGAACATTTTGATCAAAACTGCAATCACAGGTGTTAACAAGATTTTACTATTTTAGCTTCTTTGACCTAGTTTTTGACCGGAGATGACCCATATTCGAATTTGACTTAGAAATCAACAAAACAACCTTCCTGATCAATTTCCAGGATATTTGGATCAATGCTGCAGCCACTAGAATGTTAACATTAAGCTCCTGTGACCTAGTTTTTGGCCGGAGATGACCCATATTCGAACTTGACCTAGAAATCATCAATTCAATCTTCCTGATCAATTTCCATGATATTTTGATCAAAACTGCAGCCACTTGAGTGCTGACCTAGTTTTTGACCGGAGATGACGTGTATTTCATTGAGACAAACATTCTGACAAAGTTTGATTATGCATTACATGACTATGGCTTAAAAATGGGTTTGTTATATCGAGGACAATTTCATAAGGAATTAAAAGGAAATACGGTTTTGATCAATTTAAAGTAAATAGATAAAAACGAAATACTTTTAATCATCTTCGGTGTAACCCAGCGGTGCTGCATTTCCTCCATATAGGTAGATATTTCGGGTTTCTCTGACCAATCAGTGATCACCATAATGTGATCCGACCTGTCATAGTCGTAGAGACTCGAGGAGGGGTCATTAACCTCCGGCTCTCTTACTATCAGGGCACCGTGGACACCGTCCCCTAACTGGACACCAGAATGAGAGTGCCACCAGTGAGTGCCAGCGTTCTCCGCGAGAAACTCATACCTATATATTAAGTTATAAAAAAATAATAAAAATAATAATAAATAAAGATTAATAATAATGATAATAATTAATAATGGTAATAATAATAACTAAAATAGTACTAATAACAATGATGATGATGATGTGATGATGATGTAACAATGACGACGACGATGACGATGATAGTGATGATGATAATGATATTAATAATGATATAGGTGATAATCATTATAACGCGAAGAAGAAGAAGAAGAAGAATAACAAGAAGAACAAGAAGAAGAATATGATGATGATATAAGTCAAAAACATTTACTGATATTTTACAACTTGTTATTGATATACCTATTTCTACTTTAAATGTACCTTCTACTTATTTCACAATATCTAGGAACTATTGTTTCATTAAATTATTCGGCGTATTCAGAAAGAATAGCGAATATCGTTTAGAGTACATGTAATATAACATAGTTGTAACTGTAATAAAAATTAATACTCTCTCCACTTGAACAAGTTCAATATGATGTATCTATACTGAATTAATATACACTATTATAATTTATAAATTCACGTTTAAAGCTTTCTCAACCAATGCATGACTTGTTACACACAGTAAACATTAAAACACATATACATGTATATGTTATACATTTTGCATCTCACTATACATATTTTTTAGGTTAAAGGTACATATATGTATCAGAGACGAATAAATATTTCATCCAATAAAATCTTTAATTTTTAAGATAAATTGGGTTAGCCTTCTTATATTCTGTACATAATTTATAGCGTAATATCTCCATTTGTTCGTTAACCAGTAAAGCTTGGAAAAACACCGGATGACGTAACCGTGTTTTGTGTTACCTTGTAAATATAAATAAGATACAATGATATAATACCCCGAATATAAAATATAACTACGTAAAACAGGTAACATACCAGATAAGTTCAGTCAAATCTGGCAATATTTTTTCAAAGCGGAAATGCAATTTAAAACAATTGTGGGCTACGTTCAGACGGAAAATCAACGGTTCTTAACGGAACTCCAGAGGTGCTAAAGCCTAATACTGCCCTCACACATACCTCGCGACCTTACTTCGTCCTTACTGCGACCTTGCTACGACCCAGGACGCAGCACAGTCGCCATGGACGCAGCAGGGACGCAGCGAGGTCGTAGCGAGGAACCCAAGGACGCACAAGGTCGCAGACCGTCGGCGACTATTTTGAACATGCACAAAACAGTCGCAGAAACTTTGCGTTCTTGCTGAGTCTTGGTTAGGTCGCCGTGGGATCGCAGTGGAGTCGCCATAGTCGCAGCAGCATCGTAGTTAGGACGCAATAAAAACGCAATAGACGTAGTACACTCGTATTAAGGACGCCGTAGAGTCACCGATGAAATTACAAGAAATTGCTCGGAAACCTTTGGCGACGCTACTAAAGGTAAAAAGTATTGTTTTTATAGACGTAGCAAGAACGTAGTAGGGTCGTCGTACAGTCGCAGGACAGTCGCCGCACAAACGCAATAGTCGTCGTAGAGTCGCCGTAAGGACGCAGAGAACATAGCACAGTCGCAGCTGGGTCGCCGATGATCGCCGTGGGGTCGCCTTGGGGACGCAATACAGTCGCAGTGGAAACGCCATGGACGTAGAAGGGTCGTATTGACGACATAGAGAAAACGTACTGAACACAAGACTGCAGAGCCCCGGACCGTCTGTGAGAGAAATTTGGAAAGAAAACCAACGATTTTCGAAAGAAAAATGCTATCTTACTAGTTATCAGGTCGCAGTAAGGTCGTGGTTTATATGTGAGGGCAGCATAAAAACATAAAGTTTGAATGTTCTACGTTGATCAGCTGTGGTACTTAAAATGAAAACATATGAAAAAGATTATTAAGAAATTTACTAATATTAAAATGAAAATCGCATTTTAGCGTTGCGCTATTCTCAACACGACTTGAGTGAAAAGCGTTGCAACGTTTTCAATTTCGGGTCAGTTATCACAATAAGAGTATAATTTCTGAGAAACAAAGTAATGAACGAACAATCTTTTATTTTGCACACAAGTTAATGATCTTCATCAAATGGAGCATTTATCACAAAAGAAAATTCGACGGTCTAGTGCTATAAGGGCGTAAGTTGTACTTGCGCCCTTTTATATGTTTTTACACCATTCGCAGTAGGACGCCACCGCGCACCTGCTGACAAAATATATTTTTACCCTAGCATTTAAGTTGGCTTCAATATCGAAGAATCATTGGTAGGGCGTAAGTGCATCGAGCTCAAAAGGAAAATTTTATAAGGGCGTAACTACACCATAACTACACTGTGCCCAAATTTTATAAGATCCTAAGTAGCAGTTCGGCCCTTTTAAGATTTTGATACGTTAGTTCAAACAGATAGTCATATAGTCACACTTACGCACGTAAAGACTTTGTGTCAGTCAGGGATATATCTTGACATATTTAAGGATACGCATAAGGGGGTAAAACTGAATCACTTGAAGCAAAATGAAAAGATTAAAAAAAATAGCAATATTGCATTCAAACAGGCGCTTTGTATGTTTCGTAATATATACACCGTAGGGAACGTGTTACAGTATCGCGTTTTTCGGTTACAGTATAGAATTTTCAAGATGGAGGATTATTTGTTGGGAAGAGAGGTAGGTGATTTTTATTCCGGTCCATACTACAAGTAGTTTAGTTTCTGAAAGATGTTTTTGTGCTTTGCTTGTAAGGAACAGAATCCGGTATCTAGTCATATATTTCTTTAGACCCTGCATCGCAGATTTGTCGCTATATTGTCTCATAAATATGCAGATTTGACAGTTTGAAAATTTGAATCGAGAGACCAACGCATTTTTCTCCAATTTCGACATTATTTATGCATGCCTAGAAAAAGTAAATCTGCAAAACGTTAGTCCTTTATGTTAGGAAACGTTTATAAAAGTAAATGACCAGATGAATCTATTTTCCTGTTCGTAAAATGCGTTTGAAAAATAAACAATGTTACAGTATAGAGCGAGGTGATTTGTGCAAGGTTACAGCATAGACCTAGCGATTTTTATCCGATTTTGTTACAGTGTATACTCAGATTTCGGTTACAGTTTAGACTTCGATATTTTCTATATATACTAGGTAAAATGTATGAATGTTACATAGACTTTTAAATCTCTGTGAGTTTATTGGCCCGATGGCGTACATGTGTGTGCTCAATCTCATCCGCTCAGTAACTACTTGAATAAATGTGATGAAATTTACATGACTTTCTACCAATTAGTTGTTCAAATGGTTTCGGTTGCAATCGGGGATACGAAAACCCAAAACATAGATTTTGAAAAAAGGCAATGTTTAAAGACCCTTCTCGTCTCGAACCAAAAGCATTCAAATCAAATCATGATCATGGCGTCATTTCGAATGCTGCTTTGTTGAATTTATGATTATTTTGTCATTATTAAATTAAAACTCGTTTTTTCTTATTTCAGACATTCTGTATAGCAGTTTTCATGATTCTGAAAAAGAAAATAATATTGAAAGTATAAATTAAGGTCAGACATTTAAAAATATCTTCTCTAGTGAGGCTGATGGAAGTACATAAAAGTGGCAGAGTCGGGATAAGGCTATCTTTCATTTACTGCTGTAGTTGAAATCCAATCATGACTTTGGATTCTTTGTGAGGAATCTATCAAGCTCATTTACGGAAGGTCGATGGTTCTAGTCAGGTGCCCGCTTGTGTCTGAAATGTTTCACAAAGGGTATCTGGGGTCTTTCTTTACACTAAAGCAGGAATGTTTTCACATGACCTCAGTGTCGTTGGAACTTAAAATCCAAGAAAGCCAAATGTAACAAACCCTTTTAAATACTTACAAAATACATTATGGTAGATGGAAATTCCAACTTAATATACAATTTAAGATTGAAATATTGCTCACTTAAATACTGTTTAATCATTCTCGGGATATTGCCTGCTTGTTAATTGTGTCTTTTGACAGCTTATCTATGGTATGCAGGCTTCATAACCTCCAATCCCCTCTCAAAATTTCATTTTATTTAGTTTCACTCATTGTATTCTCGTTTAGGGCACACGAATTTATCATGGGCGTAATATGCCGCTTTTCATAGAATGGCAATAACGTGTCACATTGAAGGTTCCATGATAATCACCATGTGAACACATCCACAGATGTTAAAAAATCTAAAGTGTACCAGTTCATGTTTAATGTGAATTCTGCTGAAGCCGGTGCTAGGAGGCGTGGAAGGTAGCTTGCAGTTACCACTACCGTCCATGAACAGGTTTAATCAAACTGATCTTGCAACATTTTCATGTTTTCCGTGTTGGACTTCTGTTAAGGATTCTTTTTTTCTCTATTTTATCACTAATAGGCATTATTATAATGTGTAATGAAATCAAGCAATAATCTTTCTTCTCTCCATACAATTCAATAAAAGTTACTGTTGTTGTCATGAAAACAGTCCTTACTTAGGACATTACATATTCTGCAAAAAGTCTCAATCTGAAACTAAAAGTAAGAAAAATAGCAAACTATAACTTTTCTGCTGAAGAAAAAAAGTAATACAACCTTTCAAGAATGTATTAAATAGAAGGGTATGAGTTATTTTATAAAAATAATGGATACACGAACTTTGTTTGAAATTTGGCAAGTACAATGTATCTAAACTGTAACCAAAATCTGGGTATAAACTGTAACACAATGGGTTCAAAGTCGCTAGGTCTATGCTGTAACCCTTCAAAATTAACCTGGCTCTATACTGTAACATTGTTTATTTTTTCAAACGCATTTTACCAACAGGAAAATAGGTTCAACTGGTCATTTACTTTTATAAACGTTTCTAAATACAAAAGACTAACGTTTTGTAGATTTACTTTATGTAGGCATGCTTAAATAATGTCGGAATGGGAAAAAATGCGTTGGTCTCTCGATTCAAATTTTTAAACCTTCAAATCTGCACATTTATGAGGCAATATAGAGATAATTCTGCGGTGCAGGGTCTGAAGAAACATATGACTAGATACCGGATTCTGTTCCTTACAAGCAAAGCACAAAAACATCTTTTAGAAACTAAACTACTAGTAGTATGGACCTGAATAAAAATAACCTACATCTCTTCCCATAAATAATCCTCCATCTTGAAATTTCTATACTGTAACCGAAAAACGCGATACTGTAACACGTTCCCTACGGTGAATCAGGTGGGTGTAGTAGGAATGTCTCCGCCCATGGATAAATTTCCAAAAAAGAAACAACGTTATTGCATTAAATTGTCTTTATAAACATTCAAAATTTTGTCATGTTAAAGAATGTTTATTCTACTCCGATAGCTTCGTGTGGCTTAAAAGAAACTAGATATTTTCAACAATGTGTCTTTGTGCAGTAAACACTTTAGAAACTGACAAAATCCACACCGCTTCTGTGTTAGAAATCATTCTGTGATGACAGGAGACACCGTGCATGTCAAGCTTGTAAAAGACCCAGATTACATAAAAGCTAATATTAATAATTCCTTCATGGGAAAACTATTATTTAATATTTTTAAAATAATAACGAAGGTTATTGTACATTGGGCCATTGGACAACACTGTGTGACGGGAACAGACACTTTAATGTTAGATACAGATGACATTGCTTAGTCTTAGTGTCATTGATCTAAAGTTGATTGTTAATTAATCATAATAAAATTTGAATTTGGATCTGTTAGTAGTATAAATGGTGTATTCTTTCATATTTCAAAGTGCTTTTAAGCTTGTATTTGACAGTTTTTTTAAGTAATTCTAATTCCAACAATATGTACATGTATACATGCATACATGATTTGATGATAATATTTCATGTCTATTTTATGAATGATCATTCATTTTTTCATGCCTCAATATAGAAAAAAATATTCATTTTGTGTATTTTGTCTGAAATGTATATTTTAGTTTTAAAAAGTATTTTCAACTCGCTTGAATCTGGCTACTGTAACAAGAACCTAAGGTTTAACTGTTCAAAACCCGTTAGGACAAAGGTATTGTTTAAATGGGAGCAGTTTCAAGTGTGTTTAGATAAGCTTACAACTTCCAACACAACCGAACTTAAATAAATTTGTATAAACTAAACAGTTAAAATGTATCAAAGTTGCCTTTATGTTTTGTATTAGCTACCGTGTATGCAAAATTGTACATTAAGCGTTAATAATGTTCCGTGTGTGATGTTTGAGTGCTTGGGTGAGCTTTTGTCTGTGATAAGAATATGTCTGTCGTCCGTCGTTAACCACAATTTCTTTAGAAATATCTTTATTTTAATCATAAGGTGGATACTAATCCAACTTGAAGTACAACCTTTTCCATTAATGGTTTCAATGGGCCACATGAAACTACGACATAATACTCAGAGCTTAGCATTACTACGTGGGTTTTCCACACACATAATGTATCAGTCATTTAAGTTAATTCTAGAAAATAATCAAATTGTTGTAACTTCTAAGGTTAATTATATAATAAGCAGCTGGATGTTAATTTAATGAAACACAGAAACTGTTCTAAATCAAATGATTATGTAACATTTAAAATCAATACGTGTTTTTCCCTGCGGTCTGGAGACCGCAGGGTATTGGTACGCGTATAACTTTTGAGGCATGGAGGAGCACGTGACCTGTTTTCGGTACATGGAGGAGCATGTGATATGTAAACCGTACACGATTGGTTAATTGACCTTTTCGAAAACCTGGCTAAATACCATTTGTCGGTACGTTACGGAATAACATCTAGGGAATTAGTCAGAATTACACCTAATTTAGAACAAAAAACTATTACGTGATATTTCTAATTTTTTATAATTATTTTACCGTTTAAGGTGGAAAAACTTGAATGATGTATTTGAAAATTATCATTGTATCTCAAATTTTACAAACAATAAATTGTTTATACTGAAAATCTACAAAATTAAAATATTCGTAGTGGCATCTGCCATAATAAATAGAGATATTTTCTGCGTAAACTTGTGTGTTTATTTTATTTTTTTGCTTGGAATTATTCATAAAATGGCAGGCTTATTTAATCATTTTCTTAAAAAGAAATAATTGTTTTATGTTCGACCTTCTCCGGTTATCAACGGTCACCAGTTTCCAAAGACCTTCTTCTATTTGATCGATTATTGTCAACTATATTCCTGATACAAACGTTTATTTAATCCCCTCTCCCAAAACAATGTTGAAATTAGTTAAATGAAATATCTTTATATCATTCCCCGCAGGAAACCATTTTACTTGTATTTATCTGTCATGTAACCTTCACATACAATGTCATATGATAAAAGACAAAGGATACTTTAAAAATGGTCACTTATTATAATTCATTATTGTTATAGATTAAAAACAATTATATAATTGTATTGAAAAATTAATGAATACACTAAAATCTATAAGGGCATATATGGTAGTTACGCCCTCTTTGGGCTAAGTCGAAGTAACAATTTTAAAGAGCGTAACTGCTAGTTCAGTCCTTTTAGAATTATTGGCCGATGCATGAAAATGTAAATATTATACGGCATAAAACGCATTCCGTGAATTTTATTAAGGTGATGGGTTATTTTAATTTGAAAAATGTTTAAAAAAAACTCGATATTAGTTGTTCTAAGTGTGTCCCAAATTTTATCATGATTGATAAAAGATCAAAGTCTGCAGACAGTTTTCTTCCAATTTCCAGAAACTTGTAAAAATGCATTTACGCCCTTATAGCACTAGACCGTCGATTATTCCCAGTCCTTTCATGTGAAAAGACCTCGGTGGAGTCTCTTTAACACTCACACGAGTATTGAGCGCTAAGGTGCTCTTAAATGGTGGAACACATAGGTGTAGCAACACACTAAAAGGTAAATTTAACATACTTGAATGATTCAAACGGCTGAATATTGCACTGGGTGAGTCTAGGTACCCCGTCCATAAAGTTGGTGTTTGTTTGTGTTATTCCATGCCAGTGTATGGTAGTTGCCGACTCTTCGTCGATCATGTTGTTAACCCAGACAATAATAGTATCACCTTTACATACCTGAAGAACACGTATAATACCTGAACTGAAAATTGATATGCATGGGTCACATTATCCGCTGTAATATATCAGCAGATGTGTTGCTTTTACCTGTACTTGCATAAATGTTAATCGAAATATTTAGCAACAAATTTTATTTTTGCGACGGACGCGCCCTCAGGCGCGTTCAGAGCTAAGTCATCTACACGTGGGATTTCGTCGGCTTCAATCGCGCAAGGTGTCCTAAACCGATTAACAGCCCAAAAAATAGTACATGAATTTGATCCTTCAAAACTCCCATACTTTGTCGGGATATCTTAAACTCTTCCATATTTAGCCTTTTCAATTTCAAATTAAGTTATCCAAGTTAAAATATGAACGTATATTATTGATAAAAACGTTGTAGTCCCATAGTATTATTGCCAAATATGCAAATTACTGCCGAAACGATTTACCGCTGTCGAAAAAGTAGGACAGCAAATTATACTCCAATTAAGGTGTAAGCTCTGCAGTTCCAAGACATTATTAGTAGGAAATAAATATTTCTACATTATACAAAACATTATTATTAACAAATTAAAAGTTTTTCGTGACTCCAGGATAACTCACGCATTAATAAAAGAAGAACTATTTTCGTGACTCATACCGCGGATGTAGCTGAATATTCAGCAGTTATTAATAAATTAGATACAGTACAATGGTTAGTATAAATATCTATTTTTGAAAATGCATGTAAGAACAGAGTTTTTCAACACTTTACCACCTTGTATTCTTTCATGGTAAGGAAGTTATTATATCAGTTCTACTTCCGATTATTTTGGTTTGGTTACATATTTTTCTAGGTCACGATATGAGTTAACCTTCGCTATTCTAAAAATAGATTCTGCTTCACATGTGCTGATTATTAGGGAGTACACATTATACTAGTCAAAATATATTGACGTGCCAAAGCTTAATTCTGAGATATTTTCGTTCTGGGGCAGAATCTCGCTTTAACGTAGAGGCACACGAAAATAGCACAATATCTCGTCGCACAGTACAATTAGTTGGACTAACATTATACATGTAATAAACCAGCGGTTTACATGCAATACTTTTAGAAATTCTATACAATTGTAAGAAGCAAACAAGTTGAAATGGAATTTAGTGTAAAATTGAAAAGGACAACTAAACACTGTAGTGCTTAAGTGACATTTAAATTAAAATAAAAACGATGTGCTCTGGCCTCTACATTTTTTTACCTTGTTAATAAAAAAAATCTAAAAAGTACACTATTAATTGCTGATGATTTTAACCAAATTTTTTAAATGAGACATATCCAAGGAAAGGAAATAAAAATACAAATGACTAATATTTTATTGATTATTATACACTATATGCCCACTATGATATAACACGAAGCAATTCTAAATAGCATTCTCAAATGTATAATGTATTATGCTTGAAGTTTATTTGCATGGTTTTATTTTAGAAATATTTCGTTGACAGTATTTTTTTCTATTTACATATCATTTCTTGGAATAAATCGATAAGGACACTGATTTACAAGTTTGACCAGAGTTTTTAGGCATAATTTTCATTCTGTATTTAAGTGCGCACTTGAAAGTAGAAAATCTGAATTATATCAGTTTGGGACACAAAATATATTGCTCTACAAATCTCGAACTTGTATGGAACAAATTTTCCCTGTTATATATTTTGTGTTTTGTTTTTTCTTAAAAAAAGCCTTAATGTCTCTCCGGTTGCATGTCCGTCGCATTCAGTGCTGCAGCACTTTGATTTAACTGAATATCCTACTGGGCAAGCCAATAGGCCTGGTGCTGTATCACCCTACCTCGCGTATTCCAGCGATGCCAAACTTATCTTAAAAGATGGATTAAACTGATGATTTTCAGTTTAAACACATTTGCAAAACAATTATTATATCCTCTTTGTCTTCGTAAAGGAACATGATAAATTAAGAAGTCCGTGCAAACATGTATGTTCCAGTCTGATGCTTTCGATCACTTCATTAAATTTACAAAGAAAGTACATGTATATTAATATAAAAGTGACCTTGGTATCTTTAAAATCGCCGATATCCTCTATAACCTACATTATGGGATGACAGATGGACATAACTTTCTGTAGATCGGATAAGCAAACTTGCCACCGTAACCTTGAACCCTGACCTGTACAAGTCTTCGAATATATTTTTGTGGTCTAGGCCACAATGAATTTTGGCAAAACAACCTCAAAATTAAAAGATCCCGACCAACCTTCCTCTGCCAAATCAAAAATTGGTAGATCAAAATGTCCAATAGTAAATATAACAGAAAATGTCTAGTCTACGTACCGCCCTAACTTCTTCGAAGAATGCTATAGTATCATATGATTAGTATTAATGACACACTATTTAAGTTATTTGTAATTATTTGACTCGACAGGTTCTGAAAAGCCCTCATTTACAAAGCATTTGATAATCAATACAGTGAAAACGATGCAATATTGACTAAAGTAAGAACATATTTTCGTTTATTTACAAAGTTATTCCATGCTTAAAACGACTTACTAAATATTTGACTTGCAAAATTAATGTTGTGTGGAAAATAACAAATACTGCCCGGGGAAATCTTCATGTGTCACGCCGCATAGGAAAAAAAAACAAGTTACCTCTATACTAGGTCCTGGCAGTTGGCGGTTGACGGTGTGCAGATGTCTTTGTTTACCATTGGTAGATACACAATGAGGCCGGAAACAGTCGGTGTAATTGAAAGGACATCGGTAGCATGCCTGTAAGTAATGGCGATGTTTAGTACATTAGAACACTAAACAAAATACAGCTTTTATTAAGATTGAGATTTCCTGGCTGAAAAAATCGTAAAAAAATCACTTTTGAATAGTATGAACTAAATAGTTTTTTTTTCAGATAGAATAGTGACCTTCTCTTGAATTTAATTTGTATGGAAATTCATAAAAATCAGGTGAAAACGTGTGATTACATTTTACTTTTCAAACGGGCGCTTATAGAAAAAGATTTTTTTTTTTTCATTTTTTATAACAATACATAAATATTCTATTAAAAATATAGATTACCTACCCTCGAAAGGACATAGTAATTTTCTACAGTAAAATTGTACTCGCAGGTCATATGTTTACCAACTTCACATTTTCTGTTACATTTGTGATTGGATACAACTGCAAATATAAAACATCGTGTATAAGATAAAGAAGTTATTATCGTATTTTAGTTTTACATATTTGGACTCATCTGAAACTGTTTGTGTTACTGTACTTTCGTATTATGTTGTAAAACAACGTCAGTAATGATATAAGTTTTGTATGTTGCCATGTTGATAAACAAATTAACAAAATAGTCATGTGTTTTGTCTTCTGAATAAACTAGGCCTTTGAAAGAGGTTGGTAGGTTTAGTTCAGGACAAAGATATAGCATAATTAACAAAAGAGCATCGAAACACGAGACTACATGATTTGTTCTAGATGGGGGTAGCCCCCGAGTATAAATCAGATTGCCGAGTGTTTTGATGTTCCTTTCTCTTTTGTATCATAGACAAAAAATAAAAACACGTTCCACGTTGTCACAAGATGTAACCCCAGAAAAAAGAAACTAATGAACTCAATATGATATTACTATCGCAATCCCTTTCTCTATCGTCACAATACGTAAACACTCGAGACAAAATGAGCCAATCATGGATATGCTCTGGAGTGCGGTTCCAATTAAGGTAGTCTTACTGTAATGCTTTCCCGCAAAAACATTTTTAACATCGGCCAATATCGTAAAAAATTGGCCATTTCGTTAATGTAACGTTATTTTTCACAATCTTCGGTATTCAATATTTTCAACAGTTAATAACCGGAATTTAAAAGCGATAAAGGATCAATGATTGTCAATAATCAAATGCCGAGATTTTGTTCATAACGTTCCGGAAATAACCGATTAGCTACGACATTGGGCGATGCCCCTCTCCCCGTATTAACCAGATTGTCGAGTGTTTTGATGTTCTTTCTCTTTTGTATGATAGTCAAACATAAAAACAAGTCAAGATATGAAACCCCAGAAAAAAGTAACCAATGACCGAGCATCTGAATATGATATTGCTATCGCTTTCTCGTTCTCTGCCGTCACAATAAGTAAACCCCAACAAAAATTGAGCCAATTAGTTAACGCACTGTGCATGTATATGTATACAATTTAACTTTGACACATTTTCAACAGAAAGGTCCCCAAACTATGATACAACTCTAGATATATAACAGTGGAAATGAATAAGCGATATTTGAGACAGGTATCTTCATAACCTCGTTCCTGTCTGAGTTTGTGTTTTTGTTTATGCATCTTCTTTCGTTTTGTTGGTGTATTTTGGTAATTAAAGACTTAATGTCAGCATATATATAAAAGAAGACATGACAATAATTATTATGTTACTGAATATAAACTTTACATCATTTAATTAATGAACATGTCTACCATATCCTTTTATGCGCATGTCCTTATAATATCTGTTTAAAGCCCATCTCACACAGAACACACGGCTTATACGGTTGGCCACCCGTGTAAACCGTACATACAACCGAACTGACCGTGAGTTTAACCGAGTTACACTCGGGCCATTCGAGTGTATCCGTGTAAGCCGTGAATGATTTTAAAACTTTTAAAAAACTGGTACGGATGTAATGTCCGTGTATGGTCGTATAAACGACCGTACAAGACCGTAAGAGACCGTGTGAGACCGTGTGAGACCGTATGAGACCGTATATACAACCGTATTTGAAGTCCACTCCACGAGAGAGCCCAACCGTGCCAAGATCGTATATAAATCGTATGGAATCGTTCGAGACCGTCCACAAGTCCTACATCCAACACCCGATTAACATCCGAATGTCACACGGTACGATTGACTCGAGTGCACAAACGGTTTTATACGAACGCCATACGACCAATACGGTTCAAGTACGAATCATACATGGCATACACGGTATAGTACGGGTATACACGGTCTCACACGGCCTCGTATACGGTTATAGATGGTCTCTACATTAGCCGAAAACAACAATTAGCTGCTGCCACCCTCAATTGCTAGATCTACCCAGAGTACTTGCTGCATCATACTAGAATGTATCCAAAGAAGAAGGTTCCCATGCACAGAAGGATTGCAACAAGGGTCACCCAACCTTCTGCCCCTGTCGAGCCTGGTGAGCAGGAGGCCCACCAATGTCTGTCAGGCTTATCATGATTTCTAACTCCCTTATCCTGTCATCTGTTGCATCTGGCACCAAAATTCACATATATAGGTGTTCTTCGTTGAAGGTTCGAGTATTTATAAGCCAAGCCATCCGAATGGGTCAATTTATATCATAACAAACACAAATAGGTGATAATTCAAGCATAACTGGAACAAAAGTCGGCGGGACCCTATGTAAACCCTGTGAAAGTCGAGTAAATCGAGTAAAAGTCGTGTTTAATCGTACCAGGCCGTACTAGACCGTACTTATAACCGTGCAACAATCGTATGTATTCGTATGCAAATCGTGTTCAAACCTTGCTTGACCGAGTTTATCCGTCCTTTATTCGTACATGCTCGTGCAACATTCGTGTCTAACTCGTGCCAACCAATCCCCAGGCACGGCTGGAACTAAATACTCGTACAAGTCAATCCGTGTATAACCGAGTGTACCGTATGGGAACCGTGTGCCCAACCGTGTTTTGTGTGAGACGGGCTTAACATATCCCCATGTAATGTGGAATTGTAGAATAGAGATTTGTTTAACAGAACCAATGACTCAAAACTGAGTCGGTCATAATAGAAATAATATCAATAATCGAAAAAGTGTTTTGCTCCGGTCTCCCCGGCCTATGTTCATCATTTCTTTAAATGTCTATCTTCATAATATATTTATGTCTACCATTTCCTTTAATGTGCATGTTCACAATTTTCTTTATGCCAATATTCATAATTGGGGATGTGCATGTTTATGTTCATCATTTCCTTTATTTCGCATGTTCACCATTTTCTTTAATGTGTATGTTCATCATTTCCTTAGTTTTGCATATACAATATTTTCTTTAATATCCAAGTTCACAATTTTTCATTATTTCAATGTTCACAAGTTCCTTTAATGTCCGTGTTTACCATTTCCATTAGCGTCAACTTCGCCATTTCCTTGACAATGCATGCTCTATATTCCCTTTAATTTTCTTTTATGTCAATGTCAACATTTCATTTAATGTCCATTTTAATCATTACCTCTAATTTGCATTAGCAAATTTCTTTTCATGTGCATGTTCATTCACTCGAACTTGGTCCGTACTTTAAAGTTTAAGAACCCATGAAGCCCGAATACATATTTTTTACAGTTAATCTTAATAAATTGTTTTTATTTTTCCACAAATAAAGACATGCTGCATACATAGATCAGTACATGTATATAATTATTTAGTTTTGTGCTGTGTTATTTCCCCTGTTGTTCTGGATGTATTCTTGTTTTTGTTTTATTTTAGCGAAGCAGTCCTAGCCCTTATCTTGCTAGAGTATTAAGATGGACATTTCCATCTTTCAATCGGGACAAAAAATTCCAGTCATCATTTCAAGGGAAAATTCATATTAAAGTACTGATCAGTGCAGACCGTGGTAAGACCGATTGATGTAAGTCTGTACTGGTGACATGGATAGAATATGTTTTAGTCAGCAGGCCAAGACTTAAATACCACTTTTGGATTGAAAACGTATCAGTTACTATATACTGTCAGTAGATGGCCACATAAACTCATCTACAGTAAGGTAGGTCCTATGGTTTGATCATCGTCTACACGAGACATTTCCAACACCGTACGTCAGAAAAGAAATTACATTTGTATATTTTTAATCAAACCAATACAAAACCATTGTTCACACATTTTGTGGCTTGTTTGTTGCTTTGTCCTACGTATTTAAGTGTTACTGCGTGAAATTAAAGAAATTAAAGGTTTAGGCCAGGTATTTATATAAGCAAAACGACACCCTAATTCAAGAGTCTAAAATCTATAGCGTACCCAATATAACCCCGTTTTCATTTCCAGAGTTCAACAAATCTGTATCAAATGCATATGATATAATATAATATAATATGAAATGACACGATATGATATGATATGATATGATATGATATGATATGATATGATATGATATGATATAATATAATATAATATAATATCCTACTACGTAAAACACGGTGATAATGTGCCAAAATATTACATTTTCTATTCATCATCATATCCATTTTAGTTTTGATCATATTAAATCTCGGGCTAGGTATTGACGAAATTAAACAGATCGCTATCAGCTTCAACCTAAGTTTTGACATATTGCTGGCCAAGAAATAACTCATGTATGTCTTTATGTTGATAAAAAAATCATTTTTTTTTCATACCATAAACGCATTTATCATAAAATCATAAACCAATAAAAACTTGTTGTTTTTTTCTTCAAACTATTATTTGGGCATTAGAATGACAGCACATACGGCCTTGGACTGAATTGGTTTGCCATTGCAAAGTCTTGCGTGTGTATAGCTTTGCTAAATCTGTACGTTGTACCGGTTAAGTCTGGTACAAATGCCTTTGTCTTATGTAATATAATCCGTAAAATCATGCGCTTGTTTGCAATGCGTTCTAAATTACACTTATTTAAACGACTTTGTATAATGCGTCTAAAATAACCCATTTTTTGGCATACTTTATGATAACCTTGTGGTAGCACATTTCACATAAAAGGTCCAATTCCGCCTATGTTTAAAAGGTGTGGCACTCTGACGGTTTTTTTACTATCAGAAACAAAAGGAACAAGAAGAGTTTCAGCCGAAATAAACCTAGTTATAATTGTTTGGCTGTTTTGCATTATTTCTAAATCAGAAAAAATGTTGTTATTTTTTTATACAGTTACAAAAAGAGAACCTGGCTTGAGTATTTTCTTATATAATTAATGTATACTGTTGTATAATGTTGAAAATTGAGCCGCGTCACGACAAAACCAACATGGAGCGTTTGCGACCAGCATGGATCCAGACCAGCCTGCGCATCCGCGCAGTCTGATCAGGATCCATGCTGTTCGCTTACCAACTCTATTACAAGTAGAGAAACTGATAGCGAACGGCATGGATCCTGATCAGACTGCGCGGATGCGCAGGCTGGTCTGGATCCATGATGGTCCCAAACCTATTACATTGGTTTTGTCATGACGCAACTCAATTGTTATGTCATTAAAGAGGAAACACGTATTGTCATGATTTCCAATTAAATTTTATTAAATTTATTACATCTTGTCATCCCATGTATGTGATATTCTAAATAATATTGTGTAATCAACAGTGCACATTTTCCACATATTTTACTGAACGAAAAATTATTTCCATTCAATAAAAGATGAAGATAAAAACAATGTTAACAAGTACAAATGTTGCTGCAATGCAGCAATTGAGAAGCTCCGCGCAAAAAAAATGCGCTCATTACAGATACCTTACCAAATTATTCCTACGCACAGGTCATGTTATATTCAGATTAAGACTTTTAAGTACAATTGTAGATTTTTCCCGAATGTTTTGTAAACCATTTTTTGCATAATTATACTTATCTTATGCACTGTCCATAATTAAAAGGAGGGGAAAGATATTTAATATAAAAAGAATGCTTTCACTGATGCCTACCTGGTAAGGAAAGTAATTCCATTGAATACAAACAAGACTTACAAGACTTGTAAATGTTATGTGACATGACTGTACTATGTTCTGTTTGTGTCACTACTGTAGTCAGTAACATAAGATGATAAAAATATCAAAGTCTGTTTTTTTTATTATTATAATTGTAACAAATATACAAATAGTAACAAAAGGGACTAATATTATAATATACTAATATAACATGCATTTTTTTCATGTCAAATTAAAAAAAATGGTTTCTTTCAATACTGAAAGTAGAACACACTCTGGAATGGAAAAAATGGGATGAATTTCAAAAAGACCAAATTCAGGAATTTTTTGTTTGTTATACACGCGTTACATGGTGATACAGTATTTATTAATATAATAGAAGACTGTTACAGGTATGAGGTAATTCACTAACATCATGTCAAAGATATAGAAGCTATTTGACATTGGTGATATATATAAAAAAAATATTTTGTTAATTGATTTATTTAGAAATCAATATATACTTTATTGTTTAATTGCTTTAAAACCATTCATAAAAAACATTACATTTCATGTTCAAAATGCAGATCAAATCAATAATGCTATCTATCTATCTATAGACTATGCTTAATGAGGCTCCATCCGCTCGTAAGGCCACAAAATACATGTTTCGCTGTGGCATACCCTTGGCAGGATGAGCTATTTTTTACGGACGCGCACAGTCACGAACAGGTCGCGTCACGACAAAATGCCTCGAACGAAATTAAATAATTTATCGATTTCGATAGAAAATACTAAAAAGCTCACCAAATAGTGTTGGAGAACCCATAAGTTTATGATGCACCAATGACAGATTAAAACAACAACATCTGGTCTTCGGTTGCTAAAGAGATGCTATTCAAAAACCTAACTGGTATTCAATCTTTTTCCTTTTTACCTAATTCTTTGATTTTTTTGATGTTACAACTGGTTTTGGTATTTGAATAAAATTATATCATTTCTACAATTAATTATTCTCTGTACGTTATACTATAAGAAAATAACGTACTTATAAAGTAATTCTTCACAGACATGCACCGGACATGGATCTCAAAGTAATACTTCACAGATATGCACCGGACACGGATCACGGGTCTCGTACCATTGGAAAAGCGGCCTACTGAGTTATTTTTGAAGCTCAAAGTGGTGTGCTGTATCACTGTCGCCAATGAAATGTAACTTTATATACTAAAGTTTAATTATTTCAAAACAACCAATATATCAACATGTTATTACCAAACATTTAATTTCATAAATATAAATTAAGAATAGTTATCAAAAGCAAAATTATTAAAGTTTTATTCATGAAATCTTCTTTATATTGACAAATTCAATCATAAATAATATACTTGATATGCTGTGTGTAAATTAATTCAAAATGTAACAAATTATAATTCCATGTACTACTAAAAAAGGGAAATAACAACCTAAGTGTCAAAAATCAGAACATTTAGAGCTATTTATAGCTTTCGAATTCATGTACAGCAGAACTGCTTACCTGTTCTGATTCATTAATATGACATGTTGCGAATCAACGAAGGGGAAACCAATATAAAAATCGAAAGGAGTTCTTGAATGCGGATTTACTTTTAGCTGTAAATCGAAGGGATTAAATGATCAAATCCGGGCCTATGGACAAAAAAAATAGTAAACACAAATAGCTCCGCGCCTGTGGGCGCGGAGCAATAAAAACCGAGGCAAAATGAAAAAAAGGTGGTTAATTATTTTTTATCAAAATTAAAAAAATTACTAGAGATTGTGACAAAAAATTGTTTATTGCCAGGCGGACAATTTGGCTTTAGGACTGAAACTTTAACTATAAATGCCCCATTTTAGCATGTCTTCTATTATTCATTGTTAACTGTTCTTAAATCAATATTATAACAGTCAATCTTTTTTTTTTAAATATTGACACAATTCAACTTCAAATGACAATTTAAAATGAGAAAAATGTCGTTTTGATATTAGTTAATTAGTCAAGAAATCAATTAAATATAAACATACCATTTGCCGTTGTAACTACCAGAATACAACACGCTATTATAATCCGAGCAAACATCTCTACTGTTGGGTAGTATATGCGACGACTTTCGAAATTGCACAACTTTAAATAAATTAAGAAACAGTTGTCGTGAAATACCCCATGCGTTTAGAAGTGTTATCAATAAAACATATTGACACAGATTATTTTAACCCTTCCAATACTCGTTTTTTGTATACTAAAAACAGAGCACTTTTTGACATTTTTCCAACTATTCATTGAAAATGCATTATTTCGGATGACATTAAAATGTTCAATATCTATTTCTAATGAACTTGTACTTGCATATGGGCGCGTGTTTGAGTGCACGCGCGTGTGTGAGGGTGCGTGTGTTTCTTATTTTTAACAGTAAAATAGTGTTTTCTCTATAACATTGTGGTTTATTATTAAAAAAGTTGTTGTATAGATTGTCTTTTTATATTTACCACATAAAGTTATTGTACGTTAATATAAAAACATGTTCCGGCTGCTTTTTTGATAAGGTTTTAACCCTTGAAAGATCCTGTAACACATTTTTTAAAAGTTTTAAATCATAAATATGATTCTCAAATTAAGATTTATTTATCATTTTTATTTTTTTTAAAGATTTCGTGCATTGTCCATGTCCTATTAAGAGGAACATGTTTCTTTCATTTAGGTATTTTGTAAGTATTACGTTTAAAAAATTAACAAAACAACTGACACACAGCTTAGTTGAACCTCAATTTTCACAATACAAAATGCGTGACAATTACGGTTTTACATAAATTTTATACAAACATCGAAACGCATTGTGTCAGTGTATTTTAAGCTCGCACTCGCATGTCACGCCTGGACGTTTTGATTTGACAGTACAAGTTAAGTCTCCCATCAGTGTCTCAAGGAACTTCACTATAACTTTGCCTAACGTCCGTCTGTACTTTTGTCCTTTATCACTTCTTCTGTAAACATACTTATATCTGTTATACTGTTGAGAACCTGCTTATATCGAGTGTTATGAGTCAATGATTCGTGGTGATAGAATAAATGTTTTACAATATGAAAGTTTATGCATATTGTTGCATTGTCAAGTGCTATGAAATTTAATACCAAAACGCTTAAAACCATATGCATGTAGAGAAGCATGAAGGCATAATTTAAGATAAAATTATGGAAGCATAAACCTGCCCTTTTTTACTTTTTTACTTGTGTCTTATGACTTTTGACTTGTGACTTATGACTTTTGACTTGTGACTTTTGACTTGTCTGTTGAACATGATAATTCGGCGCGTTTTTGAATGAAATATGGCAGACAACGAGTTTTTACATAGAATATTTTTGTTCATTGAATTGTATCAGTTAAATTTAATATAATCTACGTTTTAAGTACTTTTCTCGATTTGTTATAGATTGCGTTTGTGATGTTTTTGTGTTTGAAATGTTGTGACAGTGTTTGTGATGTTTTCGTGTTTGAAATGTTGTGACAGTGCGTCTGATCATCTTTCCTATAAAGTACCTATGAGAGTGTAACCTTAAGTTAACTATTGCTAAACAGATTCAGATTTATGTAAACTATTAAAATTTCTTCACAATGTGCATTCCAAGTTATAGATATTCATGTAATTAAGCTTAAATTTTTACATGTAGTAACATAAGCTTATGCTATGCACCGTAATTCAATGTGTTATCGTTGTTGTTTGTCATTGTTTGATCATCGTATATAGTTTAATAATAATTTAACAACTTTTTGGATTTTATATTGATAGTGAAATAAAGTAAATATCAGCAAAATCTTAGTAAAGAGGAGAGACAATGGTATATGTTCTTATGTTGGAAAGAAGGGAGGTGTAGTTGTATGGGTCGTTGTAAGGTCCAATAAAACAAGGGTAGTTCGAAAAGTGTTGTAACTCGACTTTTTTCTGGTAAACTATTAGAGAATGACATGTTATAAAAAGTTTTATTGCTAGTTATTTATCTTCGTGCTATACAACCATATAATGTTGCGAAAATCAATGCACGATGCATATCAGCAATTCATATCAGTAGTGGGTATGGTTTATATACTGGGCAAAAAATCGAATGGCTATCTGCAAGATTTAAGAAAGAAAAAAAAAACGTAGTCTTCAACAGAAAGAACATTCTTTAATGTGCAAAACAAATCTTTATAATATCTTTATTGGTTTTCCAGAAAATGGTCATGTGGCAATAATTTTCGAACATCTCTTGCTTTGTTTATATGTTCCTTCTATAGTTTAAAAAAAATTAAACAATTAGTTTCAAAATTAAAAGTGAAATCTTTGAGGTCTTTTTCTTTGCAACCAAAAACACCTTTGCATGTACCTCATTGAGGAAGTTGCTTGCCAATGTGAGACATACTACTGCCAATGATGTCGTGCCAACGTGCCAACATGACACAAAAATGCACCACAATTTGACAATTCATGAATTGGCCTCTGAGACCTTTGCCATAGAAAGAGGGACCTGAACGTGCAGCACAATTTCTATTTATATTGTAAATTTGGCTAGGCTATTTGAACATCCCATCATCATTTACTCCTTAAACAAAATGTTTTACAAAAATGTGACCTTTGACCTCTGAGTGTGACATTGACCTTGAAGCGAGGAATCTGTGTGATGTCAAAACATCTGGTAGAAGTGAACATTTTTGCCAGGTTATATGAAAATCCAATCATCGGTGAATGACTTATATTCGAGACACGAAACGTTACACCACAATGTGACCTTTGACCTCTAAGTGTGACATTGACCCATTGACCTTGGACCTTCAAACTTTATATGTAAATGCACCTTCATCAGTTCTACATACCACATCCATTATTCTGTTAATTTCCAAAAGGTCACATTGTGGTAACGATGACCAACAAGTGCAAAGACTTTAAATGGTCATATAATCTAAGTGCTTTGATCTTAAGCATTCAAACTTTCTAATATATATACACACTTTGGTTCGGTACTGTGACACTCACCATTGACTTTGTTACTTTAAAATATGTGTGGCAGGCATTACTTACCATGTCGCATCATCATCTGCTGTTTGAATATTGTTGATGTTATCTGTTTGAAAACAATCTAAAGAGACTCGGATACTTTGTACTTTTGTTAATGAAACAGGAGCAGGCACGGGCGAACTTTGTTCTAGACATACATTTATAATTAAACTTGTCAGTTGACCTAAAGTCATCGTCATGTTGTAAGATAAACTAGAAATGATATATGTTGTTTGGATTGGGACTTGTCTGTCAAATTTGGTCGGACACATTGATTGATGAATTTCCAATTACATGTATATATTTTTTAATAGATTACATCAACAATCTTACAACAGCATACGTGGGCGCGCCATGGTAATAAAAATCTCGAAACAAAGTGATCCCTCGGAATAAGCCATATCTGCAATTCTCGTATTTTTATATGCAAAACACAAATGTCATTGACTGATCCAGTTTTGAGTTTCTTGTGATTAATCCAAAACACCAAGCTCATTATTGTCATGATTGAAATATTTATTGCGAATACATGTACAAGTGTATATATAAGTACGCTACTACTATGACGTTTAGCCATTTTATTGAATTTGAGGTGCGGACATTAACAAAAGTTGTATATATCAACATAAGAATGATATCATAATTGATCAAAAAAGAAAAGAAATCACTGTCGATTATCAATGAGGATAGTCTATTAATGTTCCACAGAAAAAGGCTGTCTCTGTTTATCTTCCTAGCCTTGTAGGAGTACCGGTTTCTCCACTGGATGGCAGACCGCTCGGTGCAGATATCTGCGGCACCACTGAGTGCGATATAGCGGTAGTTACCGGAATAGGTTCAGTAGTATCATCTATGTACATTAGATGGAGGGATTTTGAAATAATTTGGCACAAACGTTCACCATCGTAAGAAGATGTACCCGGTATGCAGACACATCTCTAACATTTAATGATAAAGGTCAAAGTCAAGTATGGGTCAACACCAAATGTTGACATTCAGACGAATGCTGCTTTTGTCCAAATGAAATTTTGTTAAAACATCAAGGCTTTAGCTTAAATAATAAAGAAGTTATAACAGATTAGTTATAATCTGTCCAAGTGACCTTGACCTTCCACTCAGGGTTGCGGCTGTATATAGCGACACCTCGTCTCGTGATGGTGGACATTTGTGCCAAGTTATTTCAAAACCCACTCATTCATTTAGAAGTGGATGTTTAACCTCTAAGTGTGACTTTGACCTTCAGTGCGGAAATGTGTCTTATACTGGGACACATCTTATGATGGTGAACATTTGTGCTAAATTATTTCAAAATCCTCCATCCATGTAGAAAGAACAAAGCGGTGACGAACAATTTCAACCCAGTTTGACAGTGTTGTGGATACATAATTACATACATTTGTAGTAGCTGTTTATATATTTACAGCTGTGTAGTCGTGTTGCATTGTCGTTTTAGTCGCAGGTTGTCTGCTACCCATACAAATTTATTGAGCTCGAAAAACAATTGCTGTGCCGTTTCAGCGTCATGTGCCATTTGTAAATCCGGTTTCAAGAGTTTAGCCAATTCTTTAAAGTCTTTATTTCTGTTCTTCGGGATTGAATACATCCGTTGACAACAAATTACGTCTTGTATATCAACATTTGTACCGAAATCTTGACTATCAAATAGTTCGGGTAAATAGAACATTACGCCAGGTTTTCCATATTGAGCTCGTTATTCTTTTGGGGTCTAATAGCGTGAGTATTCCAGTTTTGAGCAATTCGATCAAGTTGTGTTGGAATTAGATCCATGAAGCAAAATTTCAGATTAACAGAGTGGACTGGGTCGAGTTTATCATATCGTAAAGAATCGCGCAAGTCTTTAAAAAAGCTGAGCCACTACTGTAAATCTTCTTGTCGTAAAGAGCCTAACCAAAGTTCAACTCGCTGATTGGAAGTACTTTTACCAATTATAACACTTCTGTGTTTTGCAAAAGCGTCAATTGCATTGTACCGAAAGAACTGTTGTAAAAGGTATACATCAGAGTTTTCTTTTCTAGCATCACAACGTATGATACGAAGTGCCTTTTCAAATGACTTCAGGGAATTAAAAAAAATACTTTGGAATGAGGTATGGATTATTGTTTGTATCCGATACCTCTAGCCAGATCAGTATTCTACTTAATCTATCAATAATACCATGGATACAAAATACAAAGGGTTTTAACTTGCAATAACCATCTAAATGCCAAACATAGTTGGGACCTTTCGCACAATAAACACGCCTTTTGAGACGATAGGTTCTTCTCAGATCAGATGAGTGCCCTCAGGATCTAAAATCTTCATTACCTCCATAACTTCCTGATGAGTTGTCTTCACATTATGATTAATTTGAAGCCGTTGCCACAAAAACCTATAACCCATAGTTTGTCCACAAGTATTCAGCTCTTTGTGAATGGTATTAATAACTGTGGGGTTGTAATCCCAGACGTTTTAGGTTAAACTTCTTTAGGAATCTATATTATTGCCGCATTGACAACAAAATTTTATGTCTATTTAATAAAAATCCTAGAATAAATCTCAGTGTATTTGAAACCAAGTTTGAAATATTCAATAATAAGTTCGGACCTCTGATTCAAAATTTGCTTTGGCAAAAGGGTTGGTACAACACACATCACCACATAAAAAAGTGCCAAAATCATTAATATTATGAGCCCAATCTTCATTCTTATTTCATTTCATCTATATCAGTATCTGTCAGTATCTGTAAAGTATATAAAAAATAGTGTTAACAATCAGGATGATTAGTGCAAATAACAACAATATATCTGGTACTATATGTTCTAGCATAGTGTAAAGAAAAATCTAACATGAATTGTCCATTTTTTTTTTTTTTTTTTCAATCTTTAACTCGCATGTCAAGGGTTTGCTTTGGATAATACATAACATAATTTATTTAGGTATGATAGTGCAGAAAGGTTGGAGCTTACATACACTCTCTAGAATCTCTTATAGGAACGTCAGCAATGGTTGTTTTTTGCCCAGTGAAGCACCAGCTAGCACATACCTAGCAGGCAGGATTTAAACCTAGACTGCCAGCAAATCCTCCTATCATAAGTCAATTGTGTGAACCACTCAGTCAGCCTGCTACCCTGAGCGACACTATGCGCTAGCTAGCAAATTGATTAATGTGAATATATATTTTAAAATTAAAAAATCCATCAACCCTCGAATGCATCAGATACTATCTTAATTTACAGGCTATGTACAGCTTCCACAACCGTCATTAAAACAATAAATTTTAAGAGAATCTACACGTGAGAGAGGTTTGTATAACACTTACATTTTGAATAAAACAGAACAAAGGTCGACAATACGAACTGTTGAGCAGCCTTCAAGTCGCAGCTAATCCAGATGATAAAATACGATTTTAGAAGAGACTGTGTTATCAAACGCCTCAATTAAATGGGAAAAATGTTCTAGAATATAAAGCGTTTTCGTCTGCCATATTTCATTCGAAAACGCGCCAATTTATGTCAAACAGGTAAGTCACAAATCAGAAGTCAAAAGTCATAAGTCGCAAGTCATAAGACACAAGTTAAAAGGGCAGGTTTATGCTTCCATACTTGGGGCTTCCGTGCATTTGAAATATGATATTTCATCATTTAAGACTCATTACATTTGTACATCTTATTACTGATTTGTAGCATAAAAAATAAAACCACTTCGTTAATGATTGAGATAACACTGAAGTAGGAACAAATACTTTCTAAAACAAACATACCCAACATGGTCTGAGTCAGACGGTTACTTTGTGTCATTACGCGTTTGTATCAATATGCAATAATTCTTTGGATCCAAAAGCTTTCTATACATGCTTTGTCCATATCATATTTGACTATTATTAAACAGAAACAGTTCGGCAGAACTACTGTGGGGTGCTTTGGATGTTATCACATGTATAACATGTATCTCACTTGTTAGCATGACTAGAACTCCGCGAGTCGGATTTGTCGCCTTGTGAACAATATAGTTTAGGAGAAATGGTAAAGACAAAAATGAAATATGAAAATTAACAAAGGGCAATAACTCAAAAAATAAGAAATGCAGCGCAGCAGTTTCTGTGCACTGCACTTCTTATCAATAAGATCTATCATCCTATGAAGTTTCAAGTCTATAGCTTTTATAATTTATGAGAAATGGCCTTAACAAAAACAAAGTATGAACATTAACAAAGGGTAATAACTCAAAAAAATAAGAAATGCAGAGTACCAGGTCTTATGCATTGCACTTCTTCTTAATGAGATCTATCATCTTATGAAGTTTAAAGACCATAGCTTTTACACTTTAGGAGAAATGGCCTGGACAAAAATGAAGTATGAAAATTAACAAAGGGCAATAACTCAAAAAATAAGAAATGCAGAATACCAGTTTTTGTGCACTGCACTTTTTCTTAATGAGATCTATCATCCTAAGAAATTTCAAGTCCATAGCTTTTATACATTAGGAGAAATGGCCCGGACAAAAATAAAGTATGAAAATTAACAAAGGGAAATAACTCAAAAATTAAGAAGCGCAGAGTACCGGTTCTTGTGCACTGCACTTCGAGTCATTATAAGAAGCATGCATACCAAGTTTGAAGTCAATCTGACTTATAATGACTGACTCATGCTCCGGACAAGCTTAAGGGGACGCCGACACCGACACCGCAAAAAGTAACCCCTATATGTCGCCTTTTCAAGGCGACACAAAAAGTAGCTATACTTCTTACTTACTTACGGATGCTATGGGAGAATAAATAGGGAATATAATAAGAAAAGTGTATATAACTTTCCTAGATATACCAATTTTCATTTGAGAAATTTATTGGTGAAACCATTTTACACATTTTATACAATGATAAATTGATAATTGCTCGGACACTCAGTTTATTTTTAGGTATGACTGTTGAAAAACCGAAACTGAAACTGTCTAAATAGTTAAATCAGACACGTTTCAACCACTAAGGTCGATTGTTTACCCATCCGACTAAGCATTATGAATGATCTTATTCATATTACGTAAACAAAAGAACTGTCACGCATGATTTACTCATTTGTGATCCTTCATCGACTTTGATTTCTTCATCGTCTTTGACAATAAGATAATCATGTTATATAATATAATAATAACATTCCTTTTTATTTACAATGCTGTTTGAATTATATCGATTTCATTAAAAAATCTATAAAATCAATCATCAAAGTAAAACATATTACATGTATAATTAGTAATTACCGGCTGATCCATTTCAAACTCCATTGTTCCCTTATATTACCACCCCTTGAATTTTTGGAGCGCTTCTTACACGAAATGCATATACAATGTGACAGTACATGGTATAGACAGGCAAGGTTAAACAGTAAATACCCCATCAATGTAATAAAGGTATGATACATTTGATCGCGTTTCTTCCTACAACTTAACATAGCGTAATACCGTATTATGGGAGAAAGATTGTACTTAAATAATTCGGTAAAGTACCTTTAACTTTTTAAAATTTTATATTTACACAAATTCAGTGGGGCTTCATTGGGACAAATTCTCAATGTAAACGTACATGTAATTTTAACTACGACAAAGGGTTTACAAAAGAAGACTATCTTGTAAATGTACGCGTTTATTGCACATAAACTAGCCTTAATTAAGGTTGGTTTATAGAATTTATTTTATTTCGACTGTGTAGGATGCTAATTAGAGGATATTAAATGAGTGTAGTTTAATTTATTTAACGAGTTGAATAAAATCATATTATGCGAGCCTTTGTCGAGCATAATATTGTTTTATTCAACGAGTTCAATAAATTTAGTATTGAATCTACACGAATATAATATTCAATTTATCACATATATAAATTAAGAACAGTAAACAGTAAAATCGAGTAATTTTTCAATGACGCGCCTATTATATAGTGCATTAATATCGTTTTTATTTGTTTGGGTCGTCAGACCAAACAAATAATGGTAGCGAAATTTCAGAGTCTGATGCTGTTAATTGCAAATGCCGAAAGTAGGCCGCATTTTTGAAGCGGTTACTTCCCTTTATATGTACACTAACGCCGAAAAAATTCAGGGGAGATCACTGCGTAAAGATGGTCAAATGACAGGCGCATTAATTTTCAAGCAAAATAATTCCCGAATGGCCGAAGATTTCATATATTGTTTTATCCTTTATAGATATACATGCTTATAATAAACTTCATGATTATTAACATCTGTGTTAAACAACAGTTAGCGTCGAAATAATAAGGGTTACAAACCCTAATTTAGAATAATATGGTTTTCTTCAGGCCTTTTACATATAACTTCACCGTGGCCGAGGGGTCTGGAGTTCAAATCCAGGAAGGCAACTCTTTTTTTCTTCAAATTGTTTAAGTCAAATAAACATTGAATTGAATATCAGTGTTGCAATTAGTCTTAAAGCCAATTAACTACAATTAAAACGCTGGAAAGCACTGGTGGCACTATACAAAAACAAATTGGTTTATAATCTCACAACCTTCACCTTTCTGACATTCTGAGACCCAAACAAATTCAGCGCCTTCTGTGCTTTGATTATTAAATGGCTTTATTACACTACCGCGCCGCGTTTTATGTGATAAAAGTTTAAACGTTCCCGGAACCAACCAGCGTACTGAACAATGAGTTTTAAGGAAACAACGACTTGCCCCTGACGGGATTTGAACCCAAATGGCTAGCGGCCATTAACATGCCCGGCAAGCTGTCGCTCCACTTCAAAATTGTGGTGTACGGTAAAACGAGCGAACGGCATTTCCGAGATAGAGCGGAAGGCCGATTTAAACGGGTAATTGTAAGTGTTGTTTAATTATGTTTTTGTCTTGTTATTCATTTAAGTTGTATTTTATCGAAAAAATTGAAAATGTAGTTTCGTGTAGGATTGATTTAGGCTTCTAATGATCTAAGCTGTTAAATAAAGAAAATTATATCAAGCCTGGGAGAACTTTTCCCCCTGACGAAGTGAACGACGATTTGTTCAATATCAAACTTCAAACCATGAAAACGCTCTACGCTCTACACTGTAAAAAGTGTTTTACAAAAAAATTAACCCGTAACAAGAGCTAGTCTTTCGTGCAAAATAAACTACTCTTGGTGTATTTTTTTAATTTGTATATCGAATTTTTTCTAAAGTAGTGGAGCCAAAGGGCAAGAGATGGAGCGAAAGGTCGGTTGTTGGGCGCAAGGCAATATTAAGTTGGTGTAAAGAGCGTAGTCTACAAATTTTTAAAAATAAAATCTTTCAAAGTTAAAATAGACGTACTAAAATGTGAAGCCGGAGAAATATGATAAGATATTAATTTATTTCTACTATAACTAGGTCTTTCAATTATTAATAATTTTAGTCCGTACACCGACTGAGAACTGCCTTTTTTATTACGTTCGTTTTGTTCATAGATACTCTGAATAAACGAACAAAATTTTACAGATATTTCTTTTAACTTATTTTTTTTTAATTAATCAAGATTTGTACTGACAATATGCAGTGTTTGATTATAAAAGTGAACATTTCCATTTATACTTTGAGAGGAAAATGGTAAACTAAACAACAATGATAAATAAGAAAGAAAGTATCTTGAAACATAACTGAAACACTAATATAACCCCCTCCTTCCCCGGGTCTCGTATCCACTTCCCCTATACCCATTTACTTTGTGAGCCTGTTAAGCAGTCATTTATCTTTTTTCTTTGTTTTCCTTGTCGGTTTTTATGATTTCTTTTTATGTTTCATTTTATAACAAGAGCCATGTCAACATGGCCATCCCCCGCCGAATGTGTTTGCTCATTTTTTGTTTGACGGCCTCCTGGGCTCCTTGCCACCGGTTCTTGTTGCTGGGTCGCGTGGGGTGGCGTTCATTGAACGCCGCCTTTCCTTGTTAATCTTGTTTATCATATTTCATATCATTACAACAACTGACACTTTGTCAACAATGTTCATAGAGATTCCCCGCCTTACAAAAGTCTTTCTTTTTCATGAAAACGTGGTTTATATGTGTTTGACCTTAACATGTACGTTAGAGCTATTAATTACAGAAAGTCATAGTAAAATGAACTCGGTAGTAGTGATCCATTTAATGTGCCCCGTGTATTGCATAATTTTGTCTCTGTTCTGCACCTTAAATATCTAACTTTTCGAAAATCATAACATTTGGCGGGAACAATCGTGTCGAAAACATTTGTTCGCGGTAGAACTGAAAATATTCGACTTTGTCGAATTTGCACGGACACACGTTTTTAAATGTACATGTACATAACCGTGTCAAAAATCATGATTGACCTCGAATAAGTGGCACCCTGTTTTACGCCATATGATTCAATGATCGGGCCTCATCCAAATTTGAAACATAAATAATGGAATCTATACGGCAGCCATAGGTGACACTTTCGCGATTACATTTATTACGCTATAGTCGTTGAAAGGATATCACGTTTTATTAGTTGTCTTTAAAAGGTATATATATATATATATATATATATATATATATATATATATATATATATATATATATATATATATATATATATATATATATATATATATATATATATATATATATATATAATTCATAGACCACGCTTTTCCCAATATGCCAAATTAATATCGTCTTGCGCTCAACATCGAACCTTTCGCTTTTGGCTCCACTACTTTCGAAAAATATCGATTTACAAATTAAAAAAATCTACCAAGAGTAGTTTATTTTGCACGAAAGACTAAGTAATTCAGGGCTGGTAATCAAAACTGCGTCGTATCCTACAAAATGTAAACAAACGTCGCTATCCTGGAACGATTAAGGTATGTTTTTGTTTATAACTCTTTTTGTTCGAAATGGTATGTATTAACACTCTCCACTTTTTTCCGCTTCGTTCGGCATATGTTGCTTGTACAAATAAAAAACACACTTTAGTATGAAGGTATGTTAATATGCCATGTCTCTAGTCTGTGGAAAATTCAATGCTTTTAATTCTATATAGGGACAACTTCTTCAATACTATTGGCACATTATATCGCGCATATATCAGTATCAAATTTATCGGTACCTTATCATTTTGCCTAATCATTAACATAATAATCACCAATATCATCACATGATAATAATGATGATGATAATACTGATCATCATCACCATTATCATCAGTGTCCTCCAACCACCTCCTTCTCCTCTTCATAATATCAGTGTGACATTATCTCTATTTCTTATTAGACAATCTCAACTATCCCTTTTTCTCATACAATCATTTTGCCTTATCATCAACATCATCATCACCACCAATATCATCACAAAGGAATTTGAAATAACTTGGCACAAATGTTTGTTATGATAAGACGATGTGGCATGCGCAACAACCAGACCCCTAACTCCAGGGTGAAGGTCGCACTAGCTCATTCAATGTCAACATTTTCTATTGAGGGTATATGTCGTGTCCGGTCCATAACTTTCTTATCTATGAAGGGATTTTGTAAATACTTGCGACAATTGTTCACAAAAATCAGGCGATGTGTCATGCGCAAAAACCGGTCACCTACCTTCAAGGTCACACTTGGAGGTCAAATATCAACATAGTCTGTTAAAGGGTATATTTTGTGTCCGGTCCATAACTTTTTCATAGATCAAAGGATTTTGAAAATACTTGGCACAAATAGTCACTATAATAAGAGGATGTATCATGCGCAACACCTGCATTCCTACCTTCAAGGTCAAGGTCACATTTAGAGGCCAAAAATTAACATAGTCTGGTATAGGGTATATTTTGTGTCGGATCTAGAACTTTTTCATAGTTCAAGGGCTTTTGAAATAACTTGGCACAAATAGTCACAATAATAAGACGATATGTCAAGTACAACACCTGCACCCCTACCTCCAAGGTCAATGTCACACTTAGAGGTCAAAGGTTAACAGAGTCTGCTATTTGGTATATTTTGTGACCCGTCCATTACTTCTTCATAGATTAAGGAATTTTGAAAATACTTGGTACAAATAGTCACAATGATTAGATGATATGTCATGTGTAACATCTGTGTCCCTACCTCCAAGGTCAAGGTCACACTTGGAGGTCAAAGATTTACATAGTCTGTTATAGGGTATATTTTGTGTCCAGTCCATAACTTTTCCATAGATCAAGGGATTTTAAAAATACTTTGCACAAAAAATCACAATAATTAGACGATATGTCAGGCGCAAAACATGAGTCCCTACCTCCAAGGTCACATTTAGAGGTCAAAGATGAACATAGTCTGTTATAGGGTATATTTTGTGTCCAGTCCATAACTTCTTCATAGTTCAAAGGATTTTGAAAATACTTGGCACAAAGTCACAATAATAAGACGTTATGTCATACACAACACCTGCACCCCTACCTCCAAGGTCAAGGTCACACTTAGAGGTCAAAGCTTAACATGATAGATTTTTAAATTCTGTGTTTTATGTTATTTCTTTAATAAATTTATTGTTGCATTGCAGATCTAGCATTGATCATAATTTGGTACTGAATGTCCTGAGATACATACAAAAAGAATTAGCACAATTTTATGCTTCATATAAAACTTCCCCGAGGCGGGGGACGTTGGTAACTCTGTTACAAATTCTTGTTTATACACTGTAACAAGCTGCAGGGTTTATTTTTAGGTCACAAATAATTTGCTCTCTTCATCAAGCACTACTAGCACTGCCTTACCCCGTTAACTTGGATATTTGTTGTTGTTTTTTCCAAACCTCTAAAATGTGAATAAAAACTAACCATTGTTTTGTTTTTATTGTTTTTATTCATAGATTACTTCCACCATATAATACACTGAACCATCTCTCACAAAAGCTTTACAAAAAAATAAATGAAGTAAATAAAAATCATAAATGCTCTACATAATGTACGATTCATGTATTCAGAGAAATGAGGGGTTAAGTACTAGTGTAAATTAATGTTTTGTAAAAATATATTTTTGCACGTTTAAATATTTTCTAATAAAATAGGTTTGAATTCTGTAACATCAAGCATTGTACTATGATGATATCAAGCATTGTACTACGATATGAAGCATTCTAATATGATGATATCAAGTATTGTGCAACAATATCAAGTATAGTGCTATGATGATATCAAGCATTATATTGTGATATCAAGCATTGTACTATGATGATATCAAGCATTAAATTATGATATCAAGCATTGTACAAAGATGTTATCAAGCATTAAATTATGAAATCAAGCATAGTACAATGATATCAAGTATAGTACTATGATGATATCAAGCACTATATTATGATATCAAGCACTGTACAATGATGATATCATTCATCTATATATTAGAATCCTTCTAGCGTATGACCTCCCTTTTCATTGTATGCAAAATTTCACATAGAAACTTCAATGCAAGACTAGACATCTAAGTCAAATGTATTTTGTACTTAGGCCATATCCTTTACATTAAGTTTTCGTACATTTGAAAATCAGATAGTATTAGACGTTGGCTTCACTGGTATAAATCTATGACTTACAACATCGACTACAGAGGAAAACGTTTACCAATTATCACACCTTAGTAAGCAATAAAGGCACATATACATTTTGCGTGCAATTTAATACAGCAAATAATGCAAAGGTTAACGAAAAAAATATTAAAAGGAAAAAATTCACAATCATTTTTTTTTCTTGTAGAAATAACATTTGTCAACAAAACACGAGTTCAGCATAGTTAATTTACTTCACAACAACAGAGTAAATATAAAAAAAATATGTTTTAATTAATATAAGACTATCATAAAACTATCATTGTAATTTCAGATGAAATAAAGTGGTAACAATTGCTGAACAACAGGGACTTACATGACATAAGATGAAATAACCAATATATAAACATATTCTAATACAACCATTCAGAATCACTATATTACTTGTAAACATGATGATAAAAAAAAAAACAACGAATTTTTTATTAGGCCTTATTGCGTAGAAATGTGTACACATTCAAATATCATGTATATTCGTATATAAGATTATTTAATTCATATACAAGAATGTATTATGCTAATGTTTTACATGTATACTTAAAATGGCTACATATGTTATTCCATCAAGGAAAAGTATAAAAATAATACGATGACATAATATCCATGACTGGGATGATAATTTTGTAGATTTCACCTTCCTTTTAACGACTTATCCCTTTTTTTACACTGCTGATATGTAATGGACTTTCCCTGATCTCACTTTCGCACAGTCCATTTCAAGTTTAAGGGATTTCAGTATAGCAATGCTTATAATTGTGCATCGAAACAGAGCTATCACTAAATCAGTAATGAGCCAGATCAAACTGCACGCCGCACACAGAGCCTGACCTTGGTCGATACTGGTGCCAGAGTCTTTGCAGTTACACTTCAAGCATTGTAAGGATTAACATAATAATTTTGTTCATTCCATAAATACCCTCAAAATCATGTTTCAATCAATATAAAAAAATCAAATTTGAATCTGTAAAAATTTGGTAACAATTCAATGGTTTAGTCTTTACAATATTTCGGTATCATCAACAATCTTTTAAGAACACAACATGTTTTGGTGATGAAGGTTGGTTACTTGGCATTGCACATGTTAACATTATACACATTACGTTTTACATCTGACCTTGACATTTACATTACATTTTCTTACAACACTATTGCATTGACTATGAGGATGAATAACATTTAGTTTTAATGAAGTAAATGATGAATAATATATGAAAATGATTACGTACTAAAATTTTGTACAAGATAAGTTAAATATATCATAAAAATAGAAATGGACAGATTGTTATGAACCTATAGTGTAACAGAAAAAAAATGACAATACTGAAAGGGGGAATAATGTACACAGTAATCATATAAACAAACATGTTCCCAATCATATAACAATATGACATCTTCTTTATCGTAAAAAAATATGTAAAATTGCCTATTATCAAATTACGAACACATTCCTCAGAGCAGAAAAGTAATCTTAGAATATTTTTTTGTATGAAAAAGCAATGTAGCTGGACTATATAAACACAAGTAATTTCATGGGTTCAGATGGAATTCAGTCTTAATGATTTTTGAACAGCAAAATTAATATGGTAAGGCAATTTCAAAGAAAGTGAGCAAAATGCACCAATCAGAATGTTATAAAAAAAACAACAACTGGATTTCTTTACACCTTAAATCAATACACTAATATCTTGATAAATCATATTGACCATATTTTTTTTGTATAACATGCATTCGCTAATTATGAAACCTTGAAAATTTAAGACTATTCCTGTAATGTTGAGAGCAAATAATAAGTTAGTCTCAAAATTGTGGCTACTTGTCATCAGATGTAAAGCCACATGGTTAAAAGTTGTTACATTAGTAAAGAAACTGTCAAGAACATAATCTAAAGCTCTAAAGGCAAGTCCTTTGCAAAGAAACAAATTCTGAACACAAACACCAAAGCAATCAGGAGTCTTCCAAACAGTTCACGTGACCCTTCAAAGGTCAAGGATATTTTAGAGGTCAAGGACATTTAAGAAGCTGCAGTTATCTCCTCATCATGACCATTTTGCATTGCATTATTCTTCTGTTTTTCAAGAGCTGGGTCATCATCATCAACTTTGTTTTCAACTATTTTTTCACTGATCTTAATTTCCTCTATCTTTGCCACTACCTCAATCTGTAATGATATAACATATCAAATTACTATACATTATCGCATTACTATACATTCTATAATCACCCATAACTAATAGCTTTTCACTGCCTTATTTAATATCCGAAACTTCCCAAGCTTTCAATCTTGGAGTATCAAATTTTACTTCCTGCAAAATCATGATCAACAGTATTATAAGTTTGATTAACCTGCACAAACAGGCAGGCTAAACAATATCTGTAGAAATTTCTTGACATAGGTCTGACATTATAATTATCATTGTAAGCAAAGACTCAATCAATCTTCAGCCAGTTTTAATACTTTCAAGCCACACATTCCCATGATGCTGAAGTAGTAACACTGACAAGTGATTTGTTAGTTAAAACATGTGTGGGAAAAATCCTGACATCAACTGTTAATGCAATTTCATTTTAAGTGTATACATTAAATTTTATTTCATTGTATACTTGTAAATCATTTTAATAATTAACAATATCATTCACAATTTAAATGGAACATTAATTTTGTCTTAGTTTAATAATTATACAAACAAATAACTGTAGATTATATCAAGCATAATGAACTGCAAAAAAGATTAATTAGCCTTTCTGCTCAGAAACAACAACATTTAATGATCTAATGTAAAACTGAAGTCCCATAAAAAAAGTTAACATATTTGTGAAATGAAAGACAAAATAAACTTGTGTAAAAAATGCAATGTATGAAAAAGATATAATGATAGCTATGTTGACACATGCTAGACATACAACAAAAGGTGATATATAATGACAGAATGATGCATGTTTATGTATTAATTCAATACAAATCTAGCAGTTGCTACGACTAGCTTTCATACATTATACTGGAAATTTATGCACAATATACAATTGTTTATTTTAAGTAATTACATGTTTATAAAATGATTACAATTGTTAATGGATATTTTTATTCAACAATCTTATATACATGAATTTACTGGTATATGTATAAGTTAAATAGAAATCAAAGTGTCTGTGTACAAGGAAATAGCTTGATTTAAGATTTGAGCCGCGTCACGACAAAACCAACATAATGGGTTTGCAACCAGCATGGATCCAGACCAGCCTGCGCATCCGCGCAGTCTGATCAGGATCCATGCTGTTCGCTATCAGTTTCTCTACTTGTTATAGGGTTTGTAAGCCAACAGCATGGATCCTGATCAGACTGCGCGGATGCTGGTCGCAAACCCATTATGTTGGTTTTGTCATGACACGGCTCATTTCTTTGCAATTGAATAATTCCTCCTCTAGAGTACAATAGATTGAAGCCAAGTTAATGGGGGCCAAACACGAGTTACATAACTTTGAGTAACCTCACAATTTCATTGTCTAAATGACATTAGCTTGACCTATAATTCTAAGAACGCAGGCCAATTCTGATAACTTATCATTGATATAGGGAAGGCAATCAGGTAGCTGTTTAACTTAACAAACATCCACTTGTTTCCTCATAAAAAAATATCAACTAATTCTTAATCTTCTGTTTTAACTGCAAGAAAGTCCTATTGAAATAATAAGTGAAGATTTGTTTCAATCTTCACTACAATAGACTACTTGTTGCTTACAGCTTTTCATCTTAAAGAGACCAGTTCAGTTCATGAAATAACTTATTTTCACCAGTGATAAGCTTTCTTTTTGACTTCACACATGCACAAGTACTTGCAAAATATAAATCCAGGGTACAAGTTCATAAGTATATTTTCTTCACTTTGGGTTGGAAAAAGTAGATTTACTACCTTATCATTACATAATTACATATAAAGTACAACAATGTGTTAGGTGGTTGTTTTTGGAAGTAATATAGAATAGTTTATCTAACACCAAGGTATACTAGGAGCACAATATATAGCTATCTCAGTTTTGGTTTTCCTCACCTCAACTTTCTGCTGGGAAGCTTTAGTGTCATCGGACGTGTTTTGTTCTGGCGCGTCTGTAGGAAACAAAAATTATACACAACACATAACTTAAGGCGAAAAACATCTTTTTTTTTTTATAAATGAAGTAAAAACAAATAAAAGCCAGAAAATAAAATCAGTCAAAAGTATGAGGTTATTTGCAGTATGTTACAAATAATCCAATTATGCACCTTTTTAGCATAAAGACAAATTAAATTACCATATACATTCCAACATTGAATAATAATTTCAACAAAACTACTTAAAGATATTCTATGCTCATCTGTTGGTAAATATTTTTACTGCATAAATTTTATTGAAATTTACAACAATGTCATTCTTACTGAATTTGTCTAATTTGAATAAGGGAATTCACAAACTAGAACTGGTCCAGTTAATTTGGCCCTTTCTTGAAAAAGACTGCTAGTGTTTTTCTTAAATGACAATATGTTGTCGAACTATGTACACCTATATAGTGTGTAGAGTTAAACATAACAATTATCTTCTCTGTGTGTTTTAGATTTTTTTAACATCTTAAAAGATACCATTATGGCTAATGCAATAATCAGTGTGTTTTTTTTAACATCAAATTTGAGCATAAAATATCTTTAAGATTGAATTATAAAAATCAATTTGATATCTTTCAACTATTTTATCATGGAAAATTAATGTACTTTAATGTTCTTGTAATTATGCAAGTCTATAACAATGCATATGGTAATTATCAACAAAAAAAAGAGGCAATAATGCATATTTTAGTTTCAGCTCTGTCCGACATTTTTATAGAGAAATTACATGATACATGTTAACTAACAGAAAATATCAAGTCATTCACTAAATTCAGAGCACATTTTGAGCCGTATCACGACAAAACCAACATAATGGGTTTGCGACCAGCATGGATCCAGACCAGGCTGCAGGTCAGGATCCATGCTGTTCCCTATCAGTTTCTCTACTTGTAATAGGGTTTGTAAGCATGGATCCTGAGCAGACTGCTCGGTTGCGCAGGCTGGTCTGGATCTATGCTGGTCGCAAACCCATTATGTTGGTTTTGTCATGACGTGGCTCCTTTTTATAATGTAAAGCTTTATCAAACCAAATCTTAAAAGTATCTTATATGCTAGAGCTGAAACCTATGTAAACAGTAAACAACAAAATTCATGATAAAATGTAGTTTTATCGAAACAAACAGTCAAGGGCAACTCATAATCCTTTCAAAAGAAGCTGGGTAATTTGCAATCATTCTAGTTTGGTTGTGCTAAAATTTCCAGTATTATATATTCTGAATTATCATAGAAAGCTAACAAAATGCTGCTGGAAGGAAATGAATAAATATGAGCCGTGCCATGGCAAAACTAACATAATGCGATTGCGACCAGCATGGATCCAGACCAGCCTGCGCATCCGCGCAGTCTGGTCAGGATCCATGCTGCTCGCTGTCAGTTTTCTCCACTTGTAATAGAGTTGGTAAGCAAACAGCATGGATCCTGATCAGACTGCGCGCATGCGCAGGCTGGTCTGGATCCATGCTGGTCGCACACGCATTATGTTGGTTTTGTCGTGACGCGACTCATATGTTGAAGCAATGAGAAAGCTGATTGTTACATGATATAAATGCTGGTTACTGCATAGAATATGATATACAGAAGCTTTGGAGAGACCATCCTGGACCAAATATGTTCAAATAACTCATAATTTCAGTGAAATATTGTAATGTCTTCTTCATTATCATTTCAAGAACAGAAGTGAAATAAAATTATTCTTTTCTCATTGTTTAATTACAACAAATTCTTCAATTTTGCCATTCACTGGGTAGGATTGTAAATTTAACTTTACGATTTAAAATTGTTTTTTGTTTTAAAAAATTTCTATTTCATAATTTACATACTTCTACATTATATCAACAATATTTTTTTTATGTATTAAATTATAAATATTTCATTTTCTAAAAGACAAATTCTAATTTCAAACAATTATGAATATATCGTATAAGAATATATGAAAAACCAAAATAGAAAAAAATATCACACATTTGATCCAGGTTGGTTGTGAACATACAAAGAAAATCCCAGTGCAATAAAAAAGGGGGCATCACTTCAATTGAAAAAAAAAAATCTTCATAATCAGTAATTACCTCCCCCTTGTGTTACTTCTTGTGCGATTACAGTTGTTGCTTCAGTCGTAGTATTTGAAGTAATTGTTGTTGTAGTTTCTGATGTGGTTGCCTCGGTAACAACTGTTTCCGATGCATTACTTGTGACACTCGTGTCTCCAGTATGATCAATTCTGTGTAAATAATATATAACTATCTTTCTAGAATATTTATATAAAACTCTTTTTAAATTTTTGTCGTTTTTTGGTTTAAGTCGCACCAAAACAGTATAGGTCATATGGGCAGCTTTACTGGTAGCAGAAGACCTCAGGGCCGTCAGTGCATAATTTCAGGCACGAACAGGCACCTGAGTAGACCATCTATGTTCCTAAAGCATAATAGTATAAATTTTGCAAAATAAAGTATCTTTCTCAACAATCTGACCAAATCTTTTTAAGACGACCAAGAATTTATTTATTGCCTAATTCAAAGTAAAGGAGTCCTTTATTTATTACAATGATCCATCATTTATTTCATAAAGGATATTGGTGACCATTAGCAGACAAACATGCAATGAAAATTTGTGGAAACATAGAATTTAATACAGAACCTTTTTCTTTATATAATTAATATACGAGACTTGGATACTTAAATTTTTCTTGGGATGTATTTCAATTATTAAAATACTTAAAGTCAAACTAGATATTGAAATTGGACCTTGACTTTACGACTCCAAAAATCACAAAATTGTCAATAGTTTGTTCAGTTGATACTGGAAAAAGTAGTGTGTTAAATGCGGTTTAAAGAGGCAATTTCAAATAATAATTTATTAACTCAAATTTTCAGTATCATCCTAGCAGTGCAAAGAAAACTATATAGCATCATATTCGATTTAATATATAGCAGTCGTTCCATTTATCAAAATATCTGAATATATAATTATTTTCCAAATAGCAAGGATTTTATTAGTTTATATATATATATATATTATGTATATATATGTGACTATATGTGTCAAACAAATATACACAATTAGGATTATACAGTAAGTCTGCAACCATGCAGGTCTCATCTTTTACATTTCAACAATTGCAGTAAATACATGATAAAATCTTTAAATCATTTGGTATTATAAAACATCAAACTTTCATTCAAGTACTATGTGAAATTTTAGATGTTTAATTACTTACATTGCAACACTATCTTGAGTAATTTCTGCATCAACTGTGGTGTTTGCCATAGAATCCACAGTTTCATTTAGTGCCTCTGATATATCTTCATTATCATACTGTTCTCCTTGAGTTGCTTCCCCTTCTCTATAAAAAAACAAACATGATAACATAACATTACTCTACTGTCAATAATCTGACTATAAGAGACATAAACAAATTGACTTTTCCATTGCTTTTTGTTAAGCACTTCATAACAATTTTGCTCCGAGTGTATATTAACACAAAGCAAGCAATAGAAGTGGTTCTTTTTTTTTTGCAAAGGGCTTTTTTCCATTTTGCAGCATGCAAGCAATACAATAATAACAATAAGCAATGAGAAAAACCTTTCTGTTGTTTCATTTCCTATGGGTGGTAATTTAGCACACAATAAGGCATTGAAACTACTAGTATCTGATTGTAGCCATAAAAAAACAAATTTAATTGTTCAAATCAGATAAATAGTGAAAACTATTAATATATTTCTACAGCAAACTTTACAATTTACAGCTGTCCTTTTAAACCATTGTATTTCTCACACTTCAAAAAAAAGAACAAAAAAAAAGAAAGAGAAAAGTAATCTACCCTTCTTTGGCTTGTTGTTCCTCACCACCCTCGGCTCCAGCCTCTGGCTCTGTTTCCGGTTCTGGAGGAGGCTCGGGCCTCATACCTTCTGCAAGTTCTAAGGTGCATGTTGGCTCTCCCTGTGTGCGTGCGGACAGTGAGATCCTTTGGTATTCAGATGATGTTAGGAGGAAGAAACCCTGGCCATATCTTGTGAAGATGAATGAGGTGATGCCACTGTAAGCATATACAATCACTTTGTTTGAAACCATTATATATAAGCATGTATCGCACACAAAAAATTATATCTTTCAAAATCAAAATGTGATGTAGTAGTGGCATAGTCTTTTGTTTCAAACTGTGTCTCAGGGGCACGCCATTGTTTCTTTGAGCAAGAAATTTCACACTCACTGCTCAGTACTGATTTGTTCCAGGAAAGGATTCAAGAGTGTCAATAAGCTTATAGCTTCCTACACAATCAAACCAAAATCAAATTGTGTATATACCAAAATCACTAAACTCTTTCATTAAGTGCTTAAAAATAGAATGAATTATTAAAGCACAAATAACATAACATGTAACATTGGTTGCTGTTTATTCAGTTTAGTATTTGCAGGCAAAGTTGTAAAGACATTCTTTTAGAAATGTATAAAACTTTATTGGATAAATGAATGCTTACTTAATATCTTCCCTTCTGATGGCTGAGGCCTGCATCTGTTGTCTCAATGTAGAAACAGAATAAACACTCAGTTCACCAAGGTTACTTAAACATGCTATGTCATTCTCAGAATAGTTTTCATCTGACCGGCTGCGGAAGTTAACAAAAGCTACTTTACGTATTCTTGAACCATCTACGGCTGTTAGCTTAAACTTCCATTTAGCTTTCAATTGTGGCAAGGTGAATATCTATAAATGGTAACAACATGAAATACATTATTAAGACATATTGGTTGAATTTTCTGTCACTTAGACTTTTTAGAAAATGCAAGTTTGAAGGATTTCTTTATGTTTCTTGGTATTTCTTTTATCCCTACACAACTTATTTATCAGTTAGTGAACAATAATGGATAAAATCTTGATTGTGAAATATGCTTTATCTACTATATCATGAAAGCAATACTATAATAATAATAATGAAAGCAAGATAGGTTATTACTTTATCAAAAATATTACATCAAGGTTATTGCTTTATGAAAAATACTACATCAAGGTTATTTCTTTATCAAAAATACTACATCAAGGTTATGCTTTATCAAAAATACTACATCAAGGTTACTGCTTTATCAAAAATACTACATCAAGGTTATGCTTTATCAAAAATACTACATCAAGGTTATTGCTTTATCAAAAATATGACATCAAGGCTATTGCTTTATCAAAAAATATGACATCAAAACAACAAAGTAACCTTAAGTTGCTCCTCTGAACAGATGATAACGGAATGATGTGAAGACATATCTGGTGCTTTAGCTCGCTCATGTTGCACTTCCAGTGATTCAGGCAGTATCCTAGATTTACCATCAACAACTCCAATAGAAATAACTGGAGCGTGGTGCCGCAATTTTATTTCCTTAGCTAGTATACAAGTTACAGAGTCTTCGTTACGTTTCTCACCACTCGGGACTGTTACATTATAAACAAATACATGACCCCCATTTGTTCCTACCCACAAAGATGGATTATGAGAATGACCTGAAACACAAAAATATTTCACTTTCCACACTTCCTCTGCCAAAGTTCTGTTAGGGACAAATAATTCTTGGTACTTTAAATATCAATTTAGTAACATATGTATTTTTAATCGTTACCTTATATAAAATCTTTTTTTGTTTTTTTTTTACTAAAATTGTTCTCTATCACATACTTTATTGTTCAAAAATACATTAAATTTTCTTTACAGTTTCAAATTGGTTTTTCTTTTTGCAAATAAGCAACAATATACTAAAGAAAAGATCATATTGTCATACAGGAACTGTGCTTAGTGTACAGAAAACAATTCTTTATAACTTAAATAAAATTTCAACATCACAGTCCTTCACTTAGCACTTTGTTGTTTTGAAAGCCAATTAGAGTATAAATTATTTTAAAGCATCACCCAAAATGTTCTGATAAATTCATAAAATTTTGATCTCAAAACAACTATTACCATTTACAATGAAAGTGTCTGCGAAGTAAAGACATCTGACCATAGATGCCATGGAATCCTCAGTAGACCTGAATTCTACGCTACGCTCCACTGGTTTAGGCTCAGATAAAGCCGGTGATGCCGGTGGCTCACCCGCAGCTGCTGTTGATGGGCCAGCTTCAGGGCTAGTTTTCTCTTCACTGAAATTTTTATTTAACAAATAATGTGTATACAGACTATTAATATGCAATACTTAATTTTTGACCAACATAAAACAAGGGCACTAAATTTGTTTGTTTGTTTTGGGTTTAACGTCACATAGACACAGTATAGGTCATCTCGCAACATTCCAGCTTTACTGGTGGAGGAAGACCTTAGGTGCCCTTCCGTGCATTATTTCAGACACAAACAGGCACCTGAGTAGAACCACCAACGTTCCGTAAGCTAGCTTGCAAGCTTCTTTATATGAAAGAATCCAAAGTGCCTGTAGGGATTCAAACCCACAGTGGTGAGGGGCAAGTGGTTTGAAGTCAACGACCTTAACCACTCAGCCACGGACGCCTCTATGGGGCACTAAATAATGGTAAGCCAAAAATGTCAGGAGGCTGGGCACAGGCCTTTTTTAAACAGCTTAAAACTTTTTGGTTTGAGTTCGAATTACAAAGTCTTTAATTTGTATATGATGGTGATAAATCTCTTAACAATTTAAGAAGTCAATTTGTCCTTTATATCAAAATTAAGAACCATTATCATTCTTAATTAAGAACTATTATCATTTCTCTCAATATGGTAAATATAGGGCTGAAGACAACTTCTAAAATCTTAAATTACTTAAAGGCAGATAATTGATAAATGAACTTACATATTCTTATCTCCCTTTGAAGCATCCTCTTTAGCCTTTGCCCTTCTCTCTGATCGGCGACGTCTTAACCTTCTGAACGATTCACGTAGTGACTTCTTGAAAGATTTCCTACGTGACATTGTTGTATCTGATGTCCCTGTCAAGTCTGTAAAATATTGTTTGTTGTATATAATTGTTTGTTGTATATAATTGTTTGTTGTCTATAATTGTTTGATGTCTATAATTGTCTGTTGTCTATTATTGTTCGTTGTCTATAGTTGTTTGTTGTCTATAATTGTTTGTTGTCTATTATTGTCTGTTGTCTATTATTGTCTGTTGTCTATTATTGATGCTTTTAATAAACATGATACTACAATTGTAACAAATAATTTCACACAGTACACCACCGTTACATTTCAACATTCTCACATTGATTTACATAAGAAAATAATGGATATTTTGTATGAGTTTCATTGTTTGGTGATCAGAATTAGATGAATAATTTCAGGACAATGCCAGTATAAAGCAAGCGGAAACTTTTAGCTAGTTTTTCGTCTCTGTCTTGTATCTAAAGCATCTCCCACTGTGCCTGTGGAAACTATGCCTGTGATAAACTATGATGAACATCTGTTTATTACCTTGTGGATTTAATGTACATCTATTTGTTACTTCCTTCTTCTGAACGTAATCTAACAACCCAAAACCATGAGCAGTACCAGCTCCGACCCTGAAACATTATTTAATTACAATATATTGACCTTTATATATATAGCATACAAATAGAGGATATTAAATTTATAAGTGAAAGTTCAATAAATTTAGTAACAAACATATATGGCACATACCCAAAATAAGAACTGTTTATAGAAGAAACAATCATTTTTTCACAAGTGAAAATAAATGCAAAATTAATGCACAGTTGTACCATACTATTTTTACAGAGACACAAAAGCAACACAGGTATTTACTGAATATCAATTAGTCTATAAATAATCTATTTTCTGAAACAAAATTAAAACTTTGATAAAATCTAAAATTGTTTCAATTAACTTACTTCTTCTACAACAGCTATAAAATTTTTTTTACAAAAAAAAGTATTATGAATAAAGCTCAATAAATTAAGAAAATCAATAAATTTCTGTTTACTTACAGCTGCCATTCAGAATGGAAGGCTAGGGCAGTGCATGCTGCGGGGGGATACAGCTGCATCATACAGGTGGGCTGGTAACCAGCCGGGTATTTAACGTCCCCTTCCTTTGGTGTTACAGCCTCGTGACCCTTCCATACAAAATTGTCCCTATCTCCGACAATGTTCACAGTGACTGGTTTTATTTCTTGTTCCCTTTCCTCCCTCTCCATCTGTAGTGTGATCACCTGGCCAGCAGTGCCAGCAACTACTAGGACCTCACTAAGAGGGCAAAGCGCTATCTTTTGAATACCCAACCTCGGGTCATCACTGTAGGGGTCAAAGGTTCCAACCTGAAGTTAAAATATTCAAATAAGA